TTGAAGACGTCTAACTCTACTTGACAGACGCAAACATGAATTTTTTTTCACCAATATCTAGCATCCATTGTGTACATGAACAATAAAGAAAATCAATGTTTTCGCTATTTATTGTCTACTTTCCGGAAAAAGGTCAATCTATAATTATTTCCTGTTGTTCACTTTCGTATCAATCGATGCTTATTAAATAAGAAAAAAAAGGTTCACTTAGTTTGAAAGAGCACATTATTAATAAAAGCAAGAGTTGAACAGTTAATCGATAAACAAACTTTGTTATTGAAAATCATCAAATCAAAAATAGCAAGAAAATTTTCGATTGAATGCACTAGTTTAAGTTCTATTTATAGAAACGAGATCAAGGAAATAGACACCTGTGGATTCATGTTTCTGTGGACTCAAGTCCGAGAAAAGGCTTACAGAACCGTATATTTCATCTTTGCTTGAACTAAACAATTATTTTACAGATCAGTTCCTGATTTCGTTACACAAACAATAATTAGCTTACCATTTCAATAGCTTTTCCACGTGCTAATCCTTTTTGACCGATCATAACAAATGAATCTCGATATTTAACCTTTTTTATTGATTGACTACCATAATTTTCTAACAATGATAATGAGGCGTCTCTTAATCTAGAATATAAAAAAAAAAAAAAAAATAAAGCATCAATAATAAAATTCTTTTTGAACGTACCCATATGTCATTTCATCAAAACTAGCTAAAATCAGAATATCACCATCGTTTATCTTTAATTTTAAAGTTCTTAAAAAGAAATTTTCTAAAACAACAAAATGAATGTTATAAACTTTTCTTTTATCATAAATATATACATTGATTTTACCTTCTAGATATGTATCAAATGTTTCTACTAATTTAACATCATAGGTTTTACCATCAATTACTACTATATTAGATCCACGACTAATTTTTGAATCTTTTAAATTTTTATGAACTAATCTAAATGAAACAAGAAATAAAAATAATTTAAAATGTATATATATTGATAATACTACATACAATTTATTATTAAAACATATCATCGGATATTTATCTGTTCCAGTTCCTGAAATAACTTTATATGGAATAGAATCATGTGAACATGTTTCATCAATTTCACAACCTAAAAAAGAAAATAAAACTTGTTTGAAAAATAAGATCTAATCTATAAGATATTTTTCTTTAACCAGCATCTGGAACTAATAATCGTTTTATTTGTTTGTTTTCTTGCGGTAAAGAAAGATATTCGTCTGTTTGATTTTGATTATATATTTGTTCACCTGTACGGAAATTTTTATCTGATAGATTATCGGATACTAGAGAAAAAAAAATCATTTTAACAAAAAACAAAAAAAAAATGAAGTCTAAACATACGATTTCGTTTTGAAAGAACATATGTATTTATAAAAATCACAGTAATGGAGACTAGAATAATCATTGCAAAAAAATTACCCACACCACCAAATTGTTTATGAATAACTCGTTTGAATTTTCTCATTGTCGCTTTTTTTAATTTCGTCTAGGGAGCATTCAGATTCAATATTACTTCGTTGTCTTTTGTCTTAAATTATATCTAAAAGAAAATAATAATTAACAATATAACGACAAAGATATTATGTTTATGCATAAGTCTTTTATCAAGTTTAAATATTAGACTTGGTTTAACAAAGAAGTGTACAGAGTGGGCGGTTTCTATTGAACATGTAGACATAACTTAATTTCTGTCCAAAACGATTTTTTTTTTCATAGAAATATTAGTATTTGTAGTCAAAAATAAGATTGATTTAAAAAAAAGATCAATTATTGTGGAAAGTCATTGAAGTTGGCTTTTATACTAAATTTTTTTCAAAAAAAATTTTTTACTTTAAAAATTGATAAATAGTATATCATTCGATACAGGATTTTACGCTGATTTCAAATGTCTTTATTTTTCTCTGAAAGTGCTTTTGTGACAAAAGAAATCTCTAGAAATCTTTAAAAACCAAAGTTTTTAGAAAATCTGTATGTCAGTCCAGCATTAATTGTGCTAATTACGTGTATGCCCCTGATATAGAAGCACATTCTTTAACATTTTCTTCGAAATCGGACTAGTAACATAAAAAAAAACTAGCGATCAACTTTAGTAAAGACGGCTCTTTTCTAAATTGCTTAAGGTAAAAAGAGTAATGTTTTCTTTAGACAGAGAATTTTTCTTATAAATTGATAGAGCAAAAGTCTCAGTCTCAGACTATGTATGATTTATGATTGAACTCTAAATGATGTTCTTCTGTAAAACTACTGAATTTATGATTAAGTTTTTCAATGGATTTAGCAGTCCGAACAATTTTTTTTGTTTTTGATAAAAAAAATGAATCTTTAATCAAAGTGAATAATTGTTTATTCAAATTTAGAAAAAGCTCACTTTTGTTTTTTTACTTAATGTTCATGTTGTTGCCTACTGTAATCTAGACCAACGAACTAATATATCGAAAACAAAACTATCGAATTCATTTCAAAACAAAATGGGGACAATTAAATATCATTTACAAGTAAAAAACTTCTCTGTAAAAAGGTTATCTTACTTTGGCATTCAAAACGATAGACGTATTTATTTACTTTATGAGTATTGCTTAGTAACATGAATTCTATGTTTGACAAATGATAGCAAAACATAAAAAAAGATAAGGTTTGATATAGAAGAGTATTGAAAATGAGTAACACAAATTTACACTTGTAGTTTTATGATTACTTTGTATGCGTTTGAGATTTTTAAGTTAATATTATGGTTTTTTCTTGCTCACATACTTACGAATTATGTTAATCTTTATAAAGGCAAGTAGATAAAAAAATCTATAAAATGTTAATCAAAAAGTAAAAGATAAAGAAGCATATGAATATGTTTTCTCTATTTCAATAGAAAAACGGAAAATCGATTGATGATCATTTTTTTTTAGCTCGTATTAACAATATTCAATATAATAAAAAAAAAAGAGAATTTCTTTAAATGTTTCATTCAGTAAAAAGTTATATCAGAAAAATATTTATCATTTTTCTTCTTTCTTGTTATTTGAATTAACTGAAAATATTAATTTTTAAGTTGAAATGAAATTACCAATATATCAAATAATAGTTAATAATTAATAAAAAACAAAATACATATTATTTGACATGATTAGTATAATAATTTTCCAATTGGTCGAATAATGTTTTATGAAAATCATGCATAGCATGTTCAACAGTTGGAACATAACGACCTGAATCATATGCTTGAGATTCAAGACCAAGTTGAACATTTTCACATAAATAAATATCTTCTTGTTGTACAACATTCGAATCTTCTTGTGAACAATTTTCAGCGGTTTTACTTGTTGATTGAGGACAATAATAATAATCCATATGAACAATACAATTACGTTCATCAATAGGTACAACTAAATTTGTATCCATATATGGTCCATATCGATTTATCATTAAATTAGGATAAATATATATGAAAACAACAGTACCTTCTGTTCGTTCCATACCAGTACAATATTGTACTGATGTTTTTGGATAATCGACAATTGTTTTATATTCCTTCATATTCAAAATAGAACATAATTGTTTATGAGCATAAGGTACATGATAACCACCGTCAAGATAATTATCAACAAATATTTTCCAATTACATTTTATATGATAACTTTTTCTTGTCACATATTCTAATTGTTCATAATTTGTTGGTTGTAAATATTTTTTATCGATCTGTTCAATATGTGATAGATCATTTTTAATATTATCATTATTTAAAAAATTAAAATTTAAATAAATAAATGGGCCAATTGTTTGAATTGATATAGGTTTTAAACGAACAGCTGATGCTTTAAATTGTTCAATAGTTTTTAAACGAAATGCTCTTTTTAATCGTCCATTAAAATCATAAATCCAACCATGATATGGACAAGTTATTTCATTTGTTTCAATATGACCTTGATTGTCATTTAATAAAGACATACCATGATGACAACAAACATTATAATGTGCATATAATGTTGATGATTTATCAATATTTATTATATATGGTTCTGAAAGAAAACGATCTGTTAGAAAATCTCCTGGTTTTTGTAATTGAGATTTTCGTCCAGCTAATAACCAATTTTGACCAAAGATAGCATATCGTTCAAGTTCAAATACATCTCGAGATGTATAAAAACCAGATGGAAGTGTCAAAGCACGTTCAACGGGTATTTTTGATGACCATGATTGAAGAAGATGTTCAAGTTGAGTTTTATTTGATGGAGAACAAGTTTTCAAATAACGACATGATACTTGAAATACACTATAAGAAGAAAAACGTTGAGAAATTTATATATAAGTTTATTCATCAAAAATAGCAGCAAGAAAAAAAAACGTATCGATTGAATTCAGCAAAATCATAGAAACAAAACAGAAACCAGCATTATTTACAGCGAAGAACGTAACAGACGGAAATTCATCATCTTTTTTCAATTGAAAATAGTCTGATAAACAACTACTGTAGTAAATACATTGCCATTGACCTAAAAATTAACCAACCAACAATGAATAGGATTTCTCGTTTATGATTGGTGAATAGAATGAAACTGTTCCGTCACTAAAAAATATAACAATAGGACAACCATGTATGCGTAGGAGTGTTTTCCTGGATTTGCTTGACAAGCTTAAGAATATTTATTAAAATTTTTGTTTTCAAATTTCTTTGAATTTTTTTTCGAAAATTTTTGCTTTTTTTTTTTTTTTTCTTTGTCAATAATTGTTATATATTTATTGCTAGTTTATATTATACTTTATTTAAAGTATCTATCTTTTAATCCGATTTATTGCCACTTATATTTGTGTCTGTTCGATAATTTATGCTCTGCTCTTCAATTATCGTTAGCTGGAGTGATTCCATTTTGAATATTAAGTTTCATTTCTATTAAACACAGGACAAAGGTAACATATTCAAACTTTTATTTTCAATTGTACAAATATTGTTTTCATTTTAGGTCAAAAAAAAGAAAACGATGACTTTCGGCGAATCTCTTTACAAAATTGTTTCTCATTATTCACAATTTTGTAAGACTTTTGTTGCTGTTCTGAAGAATTTCTTTTAATTAAATATATTTTATCTTATCGTTAAATAGATTTCGTTGCCATTGCATCGATACTTGGTACAGGTATCCTTGGTCTTCCGGTGACATTATCTGAAAGTGGTTTTCAACCATTTATAATCTCATTTTTGATCTGTTACTTTGTTCAAGTAAAAAAAAAAACGAGTAGATATTTTGGTTATTTTTCTTATATATTTCTTTCATTAAAGGTATTGACAGTTTTTTTCTTCACGGAAGTTTTACAAAAGGCTTATTATCGAAATGTTGAAAACTTACAACAAGTAAGTTAGAGTTCAACAAGTAGATTATTGTTTGTTTTATTATATTATATAGAGTGATAAGGACAATGCACCGATTCATATGGAAAAAGATGAATTACCTACATACGGATCAGATTATGATTTAGCAGCAAAACAGGGTACGGATAGATCCATATTTAAGATTAGTGTTTTTTTTATCATCACATCTGTTTCTAATTAATGTACATATCAAAAGATATTTTGATTATTATTGCTACAATCTAAGAAAGAACATTTCTGTATATCGCTGTTTCCCTAATGAATCTTCTCAGTAGGAAACACAAAATGTAGGATGATATCAACATAAATGTATAAAGAATCAAAAAACATAGAAATAATCTTTATCATTATATAAAACATAGAAAGAGAAAGAAAATTGATCGTATGCATGCTTAATCATAAGAGTTTCTCCTATTTCTTCGCTAGAATAAATACACAAAATTTGTATAAGCATCGCGGTACATTAGACAGTTGATCAGTAAAATCAACTTCTAGATCATGGTAACCGTAATACTTGTTCCACGCTTATGCTTGTACCTATTAATGTGTCTTAGTTTTACACTGGCAATTTTGTTAATTACTCAAGTAATAGCGGGATTGTGTAATGTAGTCATAAATTGTCGTCAAAAGACAATGTCAAAACAACGTCCAATTATTAATTTCTATATATTTCATCATTTAATTATATGTATAATTCGTTGTCTAACAACGTTTACAATTTGTTTTTGTCTAATAATCTATAATAAATGTCTTTCTCTTGAATTTTTTATTCATTTTCTCCTATTATTATCAACGTTTGATTTATTTATAATTATAATCGGTGAAACAGCACATTTTTGGGATTCAACAATAAATTATAAAAGTACATTGTATTCAAAATATTGTTTAACATGTGGAATAATTTTAATTTATTTTCTTTCAAGTCTTTTTATTTCTATTCATTTAACAATGGGTGGAGATAATCCACTTATTATAAATATGTGTAAATCAATAAAACAAATTTTTTTTTTCTTTCAATATTATGACAATGAAACATCCTTGCTACCAACAAGAATTCTTTATATACTCTTCATTATACTTAATTTATTAACACTTGCATGGATATATACATCATACAAAGATATATCTAAATTAAAACATAAACGTTTAGCAACAATCTTTTTTTATACACTTGTCTTAACAAAATTTGAAGAAAATGAACGGTCAATTATGGTTAATCAAACTTTAAAACGACTTTTATCTGTATCTTTATTTGTTCTAAGCAATATAACAGCTATACTACCTGCACTAACAATAACAGCTTTCAATATAACATTAAATATTTATTTTCGAATATTTTTTATTTATTTAACAATACTTCCATGGTGTGAATCTGTAACATTTTTGTTTTTCAAAGAAATGAAATTTGATTTTGTAAAGAGAAGATTGAAATCACAGAAAAATCCTGATCTTCGACAACGTATTGGCACACGTTTAAGTTCATATCGAGAAAATATTATTAAAATTCCATCAAATCAAGTTTAATAAAACAACGAAGGACAATATTTTTTTTCTATTTATATTTAGAATACGGTGAATTTGTCGAATTGCGAGATATGGTTGTTCCTTCGAGAGGTGATTTTTTTTTATTCTTCATGTTGTCTTCTTTCTGTGTGTTTGTTTCTATTTTTCTATTCGTAAATACATATGTATACATATATATATATATTGCTTATTGTGCTCTAACAGGCGATGTTGAATCTAGTGTACCACTAATGCTAGACGACGATGATGATGATTACGACATAACTACTACTGCTACTAAATATTATTCCGCACAGTGTATGCATTTTGTTTGTTTTTCTTGTTGTATGAATGATTCTTTTTTATTTCTTGTTGTCATTTCAAGTTATGGATAAATTTAACTTTTTTTCCGATAGCCAATAAAGTGGATATAATCAAACGATGTTTACCAAATCTTCATTCACTTGGAGAGCTTCTATTACCATGTTTTCTTCGACAATTATTTACATTAACTGTACTTTTGAGTTTGTATGTATTAGTCGGTGTTTTTTTATTAATTTTCTGAAACGAAAAAGAGTTTTTATTAGATTATGCTTATTGGTGAGCTATGCACTAGCTGGTAGTCAAGCATTTACTACTTTATTTCATGTCAAGTAAGTTATATGAATGATAAATAAATAAATGAATTATATCAAATTAATTTTAGTTATATGAAAATGATTCCGGTTTTTTGTTGGACATGGACATTTGTCATTATTTTTCTTCATTCATTTATTCAACCGATTATATCGGTATTAACTTTTCTTAAAGGGACACTTTTTACTGGAACGGTAAATAATTCTAATTATATATGTTATGTTGTTATTTATTTTTTTGAAGGTCGTTGTAACATTATTAGTTGGATTAAAAGTACAAAATCCAGTAACAAATGATTATAAAGCTATTGGAGATTCATTTTTAATGAGTACAATTGCATTAGGTAAAATAAATAATTTTGTTTAATTTGATAAATAAAATATAATTTAGGTGGTTTAATGAATGTGATGCCATTAATGTTTTCAAAATTGAAACAGACAAGAGATGAGGTAAATTAAATATTGTTTTGTTTTTTTTCTTCGACAAAATCTGTTTGATATCTTTTCTTTGTGCTTAGATTATCGGCTTTAATGTAGCTTTATTTCTTGGCTTGACAACATGTGTTATTTTAAATATTCTTTGGTATGATGTAATAGAAGTCAATGCTATTCTATTAGATAAATAATATTCAATTGAGAAAATTTTCAGAAGATCAAGTCTATGAGCAATTAGTTTCATTTATGTTTTTTTTTCTTATTTTTCTCTCCGTATTCAAATAATTTTTCTTTACCTAAACGAAACAACTGAAATAGTATCATTTAAAACTATTTCTAATCAAAATTTAACATACATGTACAAGACCTACTAATCAGAGATGTCTTGAGATCACCAAGATGGAAAGTAGGTTGACCCTTTTTGTGGTTATTGCTGAGCCAACAAAAACCGAAGAAAATAGATTAGTTTTATTGGAAAAAAAATGACAATTTTCCAAGATTAGAGAATTATCTTTTCTGCTCAGGACACTCTTGGATCTAATATTTTAATATAAAAATGAATAGTGTTTGGTTCAAATTGAAGGATATGTATTACTAAAGACTTATACTTTGCAATAAATCTCGTCTTCTTAAAAATATTATAGAAATCTATGTATATATAGAACAATGAAATGCTGATTTGTATCGGCTAAAAATTTTATAATCAGCATTTGTGAACCGGACCGATTTATCAATATTCTGAATACTATTCCAACAAAATATTTTTTAAAAAGTAAACGGCAGCAGCATTAAAATGCTTTCTTTACACACATATATACCATTCGACTTTCCTCGGCATGTCACAAATTGCATGTAATAAAAAGAAAAAATTGAAATCTATTCGATTGCTAATTTTTTATTATAAAGTGTTTTTAAACAACTGATTTTTTAATTTATCTGTTTTCTAAAGGTGTTGGTCAATATTAGCAGTTGTTCCGCAACATAGTATATGTTTATCAAGTAATATAAATGAATCAATTCAAATGGCGTTTAATCTTTTAAATGAATCACAAATTCAAGGTCAATGTATTTATTCGCCGTCTTTACAAAGGTAGATTTATTTTGAAAAACAATCTTCTCTTTTAATTTTTTGTTCTTTTTTTTTTCTAAGAGCGGAATTGAATGGAGAAATTTCAACAGTACCTTTAAGCAAAGTTCGTTTTAGAAAACAGAACTAAAAAAACAGAGAGTTTTTTCGTTTTTAATTAGATTCTTGAAAAAGATGATTACAAATTTTTTCAATATGTTTCATTTATTGTTCAATTATTTATTGTAATAAGTATTTCGGTTTCATTCATGACTATGGGTTCAGCCTTACATCATACAAGTAAGATGAGTATTTTTCATTCTATTTAATTAATAAATTATATCTTTTTAGTCAAAGGCGTTGTTGATTCATTTTGGAACCCTGCATTAGAAGCAGAAACAAGTTTAACAAGATATGGAAATGTTTTTCAATATATTACTATCCGACGGTAAATAATAATGGGTAGACCGAAAGTTTTCAGATAAAATATTTCTAGATATGTCTTAGAAATATTTTCTTAGCTTTTGTTCGCGACTAGTGAAGACATTTTTTTAAAGATCCCAATAAAATAAGATTGAATGGTGAACCAATAGATATTTGCTAATTCCTATTAGTTTCTTTTTTTAAAGTGCCAAAAAAATATTGTAGTCATTTGTTTTGTCGATTGAACACTTCTTTACAAAATATTATATTGAACTAAGCAGTATCTTTTATCTAAGTGAAATTATAAACAATTTTTCAAGAGCACCTTGCTATATAAAACACTTTCTGATAAAAAATGAGGATTTAAGAGAAACGAAAATTGAATTGACCTGTAGAAAAACAAATAACAACCTTCAATAGTATATTTTGTAGGGTACCTTCGACTCGACAAGTTGATATATTAATAAAGGTGTCAATATTTACTTCCGAATTACAATAATAAATGTAAAACAAGTGTGTGGAAAAATTTTCCACCAAAGCTATGTTTTGGTCTTTCAAATGATCATCTCATTGATCGCAAGAAAATTTCTAAGTCTACATTCAGAAACAATAGGAAATTCTGGTCATAACTAGATACGAATAAGATAGTTCTGGTCTCGATCCTACTGGAACTGAGAACACGACAACCCTTTTTCATTGGGAATGATATCTTTTTTCGGGTGGTGTAAAATTTCTATCGAATGTCATATTCTCATGATTCGTGTGTTCTTAAAGTTTATGAGAAAATTATTCAGCAATGATTACTCACAATTTTGATACTAAATTAAATCCTGTTTTTCATAAACAACAGAGCTATCGAACACGTCAGCATGCAGAATAGATGAAGTATTAGTGAATTAAAAAAAGTAATGAATCTCCCAAAGAGTACATATTGGAGGTCATGCGAATCACGCAAGATTTCTTGAACTCATTGACACTGGTAGAAAATGGCATCACATTTTTCGCTAGAACGTGCATTAGTAAGCGCCAAGCCAGACCCAACAACGATTTGTCTACTCATTGTTAGTCATAACCCATAGTTTTTAACTCTTTAGAAATACTTTCGAGATAGTGAAAAATGAACAAATATTTTGTCTTAAAACTTTCGGCTCATCTATTAAATTATGAAGTTAATTTTAGTGAAATGATAATTTATCAAATTTTTCTAGAATTATTCAATGGATTTTTTCTTTAATTATTTTCTCAATGGTCTTTGGTATTGCAATGAGTAATCCAAAGGTTTGCAAAAAAAAACAGAAAAAACACTAGGAAATCGTAATTATTAATTTATAATAACTTTAGGGTTTTAAAAGTATTCTTGAACAAGCTGGAAGTCTTTTTCAAAATATTGAAATGGGTATATTTCTTGCAATAATGATCTATAAAGTCTCGACGGCAGAATATCGGTAAGCAACATTAATTCTTCAGCACACTGGAAAAAACAGAGCTTTTTCCATATGTTTTGTTTAGTCGTTATATATTACCTTTTCAATTACCACGGTGGTTTATTCATTTTCAATGGATCATTCCGATTTATTTTGTCTTCGCTGTGATTTATGATATATATCATATAATTCGGCATTATTTATATTAAAAAAGAAATGAAATGAAAACAGATTAATATTGAATTTTTTGATCGTTGTCACAATGTCTCTTATTAATATTGTCTTAATAATATATATTATTTTTATTTGTTTGTTTTTGTCTGTAACATAATTGTTGTCATTGATATTTTTATTTAGTTTCCTCTTGCAATTTTGATGTTCCTATTTATTTTTCTTATCTTCTCAGACGAAGGCCGCGATGTTTGTCGAAACAAAAAAATAGAACAATAATAATTTCTTTTTTGTTGTCTTCAGATTGAAAAATCATAATGGCTTTAGGACCAGCTGATATTGGACTTCAACATGTATATGATCAACTAGCACAATCCTATATTGGATTTGAACAATATGAACAAGAATATAATAATACTAATAATATATCAACAAATAATTCTTCAGGTATCATTTTGACTTATGCATTGAAAAAGAATTACAATGATAAAAATTCATGACCATCTCGAATAATAATTGCAACATATACAAAAGAGAAATGGTTAATTCTAAAACGTTTAACACATTTTTTTTCATAAAACTCGTAGTGGTTTCCGAATATATCTAACCTTTCTTACTATTTTATAATTAGTTACTTTTTATTTATCATATATAACAATTGATTATAATACGTTTGAATTTATCGCAAAAGTTAGGAGAAAAATATCTAGTGCTCTTATCATTCGAATCCTCTAAAATATGATAAATAGTTTCGATAAACTAAATAATCCTTCAGTGAAAATAAAAAAATCTCCAAATTTTTTAAGGTCTAAGCAGTCTAATAAACGTTTCATCATTACACAAGAATCAACTTTCTCCATTCTTTATCGATGATTGTCTGTATATTCGTTGTGAATCTAACTGTCATGTCATGGTATTGACCATAACACGATGATCAATTTCTATCGAGGACGTAGGCATGACTTTTTGGTGTCAAAAACATATTTGTTTCGTAGAAATATTGATTTTTCGTGTTCAGTAGAATGATTGATGGAAAAAAAGTGACATTTCGAAAAATAAGGTTTTTTTTATGTAAAATGGATTTTCTTTGTTAATTTCAAGTATGCTCTTATTTTTCTCTCAAAGGTAAAAAAACCTGTATCTCAGTTCAGAAGTTTTTGTGTATCTTTGTGCTAACTTAGTAGCCCTGTTAGGCATCGTAAAACATTCTATGGAAGTTTCATCGAGTTTGAAACTGTATTAAGATGTACGCACTGACTACGCTCAACACGGCATGTTAGAAAACTCTTAGCTGAGAAAGCGTGTATACTTTTCCAACATAAAAACTGTTAGAAAAAAATTTTTTCATATAAAACGATAGAGAAACAGCTCTACGATTTCTTTCATAGGTCTTTCTAGTTTTTTTCAAAAAAAAAAAACTTAACCATTTTTTTAGGCCTACAATTTTCTTACACTCCTAAAGTACCAAAATCCTTTGTTTTAAATCAAAAACTTGTTCATTAGCCGACATATATAGGACATTATTCGCACCGGAAAAAATATCACTTTGATTTTTTCACCAAATGTCAATAGGTTATTGTCCACTGTGCACTGAAGTATACAAGATATCTTTTGACATAACTATATCTTGATTATTAAAAACTAACAATTATTTTTATTTTATTCTACTAGTAAATACAAATCATAATTCAAGTTTACCAATTCAAAGAAATAATGTCTTATCGTCTAATTCTCCATCAAATATTGCGAAAACAATGACATATTCTCGTTATGCATCAACATCAAATGGAAATTCTCAATTTCCAATAAAACGTCTTTTCACTCCATTTCTATCTAGTGTTTATACTGAAATTGATACAATATGGTTTCGAAAAAAATGGTTAATATTCAGTGATAATCGTAAAGAAACATTTTTAACATTACGTTCAGATATATCAGACTATTTAACTGTACAAATGGCAATCGATCAAAATTGTTTTATAAACAGTAAACTACCTCTTCTTAATCAGCCTGAATGTTTACTTATTCGAACAGAAGGCAATAATAAAAGTTTATTTTTACCTAATTCAATTATTTCATTTGGAAATTTTTTTGATCGAAATAAACAATTATCTCAAGCAAAATTAATTGCTATTATATGTGAGTCAGATAAGATGAAGAATAAATTAATGTTTTATAAACATTCTGCAACAAATCATTGGTATATTCTAAATAATGATCTGATAAATCCATCACAATCATTTTCAAATATTTTATCGAATGAAGAACAACTTCAACTTGAATCATTGTTGAAACAAAATAATCATAGAAAGTTTATTCATCCATCTGAATTAGATCGTCCGTTATCTGCTTTATGCTATCATCCTATTACTTATATATATCTTGTACAGAAAATCAATGATGAAAATTAGTAAACTTTTGGCTATACTCAACGAATGTGATCAAAAAATGTTTGTTTTTTGTTTTGTATTGTGATTTTTATTGAATTAACAAATTCAATTTTTTTTTGATTGTATAATTTTATTAATTGAATTGACCATTTGAGTTCACTGATAATGTGATTTTTAGAATGAATGTAAAAGATCTTTAACTATTTTTTTATTTTATTTTGTATGATGTACGAATTATATATTTTCTACTTATTATAATACTGTGTCTTCATTTATTAAAGCAAAAAAAAAATTTTATTTTAAACTCAATTATTTTTCTTTGTCTTTTTAAGATAAGAAACAATTTGAGAAGTCATTGAATTCCTCATTCGAACATTCCTAATTACACTGACATCATAAATAATTTATGGCAACTCGTATGTAATATATTTTTTTGCTTAAAGGTTTTTTGTTGTGATATTTTCGTTTAGATTCTAACTCGTACGATGATAAAGATGATTTTCTTAAATATATTATTAATGAAGCTAAAGCTGGTTATATGGAAACTCGCTGTCGAGATTATTTAGATGTACGAACGTATAGACATGCAATTTGCTTTGATACAGGAGAATATTTTGATGCCTTAGAATTATATGCTCCAGTTGGATCATTAACTATTCAAAAAATAATTGATGATCATCACGATTTAGATACAATTCATTTACGACGACCAGCACCCGTTATTTTACCAATAATAATATCAAAAATTTGTAATGATCCTAATTCATATGTAATTCCATCAGGAGCACTTAATATTCATGCTATTCTTCCTCGTTCACCACGCTATCAACTTGAAGCTATTATATGTGAATTAAATCAACATTGTGTTATTTTTGTAAAAAATTTAGAAACAGATAAGTGGTATTATTATCAAGATGGTTATACATGTGAACAATTTAGTAGTGATTTAAATGATAATTTGAATAATATAATTGAATCAAGATCAGTAAATGAACAAATACGTTTAATAGAATCTGCACATTTTCTTATTTCATTAATTTTTCATAATGCAGTTAAATATGTTTATAGACAAGAAGAAAAATGAATTTTTATTTTTTGTTTTGTTTTTTCTAATTTTCTACTATGGCATTTCTTTGAGATACAAGTGATATAAATTTCTTTTGTGCGTTTTTCTTATAATAAAGTCTATAAGAAAATAATAATTCAGAAAAAGAATTTATTTCATTTTTTTGGAGATCAATGAATAGTCTAACTATTGGTGACATTGTTCAGAATTCAGGACAACGTGCTATGTAAGTATCTATAACAAAATAATAAAAAAAAAGAAAGACCAATAATCCTTATTATTCGTCTCAAATAGTGTTCGTTGGCTTGGTTTTATCGAAGAAATATCGATAATCGGTTTGCAATTGATTGATTCGATATTACCTGGTAAGAAAAAAAAAGTTTTTCATCTTCTTGATTAAGTCTTTTTTATGTTAAAGGCTATACTGATGGTACTTGTCCATTTGATAATAAGCGTTACTTTAATTGTCCAAATGGACAAGGTTATTATATCTTAGAAACGAACTTTACTGATTCGTACAAGATTATTCAAAAGAAGATCGAGATTAGCAAACTCACTACTTCCGATGATGAATTCCATGAAACAGAGTAAATATTTAATTGAATAATATGAATAGATGAAATTTTCTTGAATGATTTCATTCTAGCTGCGATTATAATAGGAAATTAACGTTTGATTACAGTCAATTCGTATAGTTCTTTTTTTTTTGTTTTGTTTCTTAATATTATGTAAAATTTATTATTGTCTTCTACAAAAGTTCAACAATGTCAAATTCATATCAATGAATAAAAAAAACGATAGCTTGAATCGTGTAATTAAAGTATTTTCAAGGCGTATTTCCAACACTTTTTTTGATAAACAGTAGACTACCTGTTTAGTATTGTATTGAAATAATTAATTATTTTTCTCAATTAGGGAAATCAAATAAGTATGAGACAATATATCAAATAAGAGATAATATGAAGTTTTACGAAACAAATTCAAAGAATTAGGAATTATTTTAGTAATATGATAAAGAATCAGTGTAATCTTTCTCATAAAGAAGTTACATTGGTTTATCGATAACTCATATTTGAAAATCTTTAGTTGATCCAATGCATCCCTTCCATTTCTCTATCTGTTTGAGAAAGCAACAATTAGTCACAATATAGAATAGGTTGCATGTTTGACAGAAGCGTGATTCCTATTTTACTTTCCTGAAACCTCAAATTGTCGACATGTGATTCAATCATATACAGCCCCATACTAAGACGAGGGTAGTATATGAAAAATAAAGATTTACCCTTGAAATCGGCTGTTTGATGATCTCGTTGATAAACAATTATTGAACTTTGGCATTCACATACTGAATTCATCAAAACTGTAGTAGACAGAAGCTCTCGAATAAGAAACAAAAGTATAGGATCACAGGGAATTTTCAAAATAACCACTACTGTCTCTCGTATAAGACTTCATATTGAGTTAAAAGAGTTCATTAAACATACGTATTTATATTTATATCTAATGTTTCTTGTCTTTGAAGAGAATGTTTGTTATTTTCTGGACCTTCTCCAAATTAGTTCTCCATCATGCTAAGAAATTTCTTTTGCCAATTATATTTTTCAGCATTGTAATCAACTCTACATTGCGACTAATTGTCGTAGACGCATCCATTCAAATAAATTCGATTTCTTTTGAATTATTCTACCAGATAATAGTTGATGTTAAATTTTTTTTCGCAAACAAATCAATCATTGCGTACTATTATGTGTCTATTATAATTTAAACTGAACTTTTAAGATTGAATCTCGAATATAAATACTATCCGTACATTGTGACATTAGTCATTCGTTAAAAATTAGTTCTTTGGCAATTTTACGGATAATATAAATTGTCCAAAAGATTTTCTCTATGATTTCTTAAAATTTACTTTTTATAGACAATCCGTGCCAACATCTTCAGTAAATGTATCCATAGCTCAACAACCAATTCGATCATTTTCTTCACCAACTATTTCTCAAATTGAACCTCCGTTAGATAGTAATCATGTGATATCACCATCACGTGGTGTTCTAAGTCGATTAACATTCGAACGAGAACAACGAAGAATTCAAAGGACTTCATCCACAACTGACGACAAAGATACATTCAATCAAACATCATCATTAGAATCAGATCCAACACCATCACGCATATATCGTCCAGAAAATTATAGATCAACATTCAATGATAAACCTGAAGAATCGCAAATTGGTGAATCAACTTTAGATCGCAATGAGAATACGAATAATGACGATGAAAACAAGAATACTTGCCCTGTAATTCAAATAGCAAGTGATAACGATCAATTATCATGCACACAGAGTTTACCTTCATTTGGTCAAGAATATTTCCTTGATAATTGGTCACTTAGTCGTGTAAAAACTTTACTAGAAAATCAAATTCCCATTTCTAATCAATTATACTTAAGCATATCTGATGATCAATGTAATGTACAAAGTTTAATCGATGAACAAATTACTGGATATGAACCTTCTACACCTAATGAACCACCCAATGATGTTTGTATTGAACTTATTAAATTATTCAATCGTGTCGAAATAATATTTCCATCACGTACTATTCGTTTATATAATAACGATTATTTATTATTGGCTATATTATGTTCAAATAATCAATGTGCTTACATACGAACAGCAGATGGTTGGGCTTATATAGACGATGAATGTGATCATGAACAATCAATTGTTATTGATGAAATCTCACAAATGATTAACGATTCAAATAATGATATTCAAATAAATTCTGAACAATGTCTACATGTACTTAAAAATGCTTCGTTTTTATATTATAAACTTGTTTAATACTTTTTTATTTATTTTGTTTTTTGAATACTATTTATTGTTTCATTTATATATTTATATATATACATAGATAATATATATATGTATTATTCAAGAATGAAAAACAAAACAGACTGTGAACATAGTTAAACTTAATATATTTTAACTTTATTACATTGCTGTTAAAGCAGAATAACAATCTGAAGATAAATAAAAGTAGAAGAGAGAGAGACAACGAACTATTCACAATATACACGAAGATTGCTTAAAGTCGTGTTCTCATTGTCATTCCCTTTCAACTCTCTCTTTTTTCGCATCTGCATTGCTTATACACGCACACATCAATTAGACCAACATGCCTTAGAGGCTTCAGTGATGGTAACGACAAGCACATAGGATCGACAAAACCCTTAAGGCTTGAAGCAGTAGTCGAAGAAGCAATAAGAGTGAAGAAGAGAAATAGAAGGAGAAGAGAGAGAGAGAGAGAGAGAAAGATGATTGTGCTTTGCCATAGGCAAATAAGCCATACACACATAACATACACAAGTTTTATTTTGCTTTTGCTTACTTCTGACCATCTCGTTCTGAACGTGTAAAAGAAAGAAGAGAAAGAAAACGAGAAGATAGTCCGAGGCAAAAAGGACAGATTGAAGCTCCAAGGCAACAAAAGCGAACGAAAGAGACATATTCTATTGCCGCCAGGGCTTCTTCCTTTCTCTCGGTGTCTAATCGTGAGAAAACTAATCTGCAGCAACATGGCAAGCGAATTGCCATAAGCAATGTTCTGTAAAAAGCCGTTACCATATACATACATCGTGTCGATTCTCACTCATTTTCTTACTCTGCTTTCGGCTGCTCGCTTGCCCTCTTCTTTCTCCCTCTTCATTCTAACGAATAGCCTCCGGCGACACCGTGTATGTGTGTGTGTACGTATGTGTATATATGTCAGAAAAAAAATGAGAAATTCGTTCTTCCTTGTCATCGTTAGCTGACTGTCTTCTCAATTACAAGATAGCATATATGATTATTGTTTTTAATTTAATGCAAACAATTTAGAAAAGAAACAAAAAAAACCAATAACAATGAATAGTGATATGACAGAAAGACATTCATCATCAGTAAGTCCAAAAGTTTCATCATCAATGGTTATTCCTAAACGTGAGCCAATAGAAAATGATTTTAATCAAAATAATAAACGTCGTTTTATTGAACATCATTCTCATGATACCGATACAATTATATTAAATAAACGACAAATGGCAACAAAAAAACATCAACATTTAGATAATATACAATCGAAGTGTATCAATGGAAATAATGATGAACAACGTCAAAAACAAAATGAATCACATTTAAAAACAAATAGTCCAAAAATCAGTAATCAAAAATTATTATCCAATGGTGGAACTAATGATATTCCATCAAACATACAAACAAAACCAAGGTAAATTAAAATATTTTTTTATCTATACCTAGAAAGAATATTTTTGTGTTTTCTTCTTTCTTCTTATTTTTCTACAAGAAAAGTTTAAAAAAAAACATTTTCTTTTTATTTTCGAAATAGATTTCTTGATGGCAATTCCGATAATACAATTATTCGACCACAAGTTTCATCATCTCCATTAGGTATACCACGTCCAGCTAATCCATCACGTTTTACAGCTCCTGTTCATATTGATGTTGGTGGTACAATATTTACATCATCATTAGAAACCTTAACACGTTATCCTGATAGTCGTTTATCAAAATTATTCAATGGTACAATACCGATTGTACTAGATACTCTTAAACAACATTATTTTATTGATCGTGATGGAAAACTTTTTCGTTATATATTAAATTATATGCGTTATGGTAGTTTAACATTACCAGATAATTTTCCTGAATTATCAGCTTTACTTGAAGAAGCTCGATATTTTGAATTAACACCATTAATAAATGCTATTGAAGAACGCTTGAATCAAAATAAACTATCAAAAAATACAAAACAACAACAACAATTATCATTAAATAATCATGATGTTTTATTATTAAATATAAGTCAAGATCGTGTATTAATAAGTGGTAATGTAACACTTATACATGATTTATTTTCCGAGATTCAAGAACAACAGCAACAACAGCAAACAACACCAATACATGCACATGTTGAAAGAAATCAATTTATACGTTTTACTTTAAATGCTTTTATTAATTTAACACAATTAGAAATTTTTCAACGATTATTTGATTCACAATTTATTATTGTTGCATCAACATGTGGAACAAATATGGATACAATGACACAATATAGTGAATATATTTTCTCAAGATCAAAATCAAATCATTTATCATCAATATAAAGAAACCAAACAAACAAATAATTTGTTATAAATACATGTTGAAAAAGTGCTGTCATTGTTGTTGTTAATAATGATCAAGAAAAATTTCATTAATTAGAAAGAACAAATTATGATTATTCAGTATATTCCTGTATTATTTAGATAAACTATTTTGTTTGTCATAACGGTGAATCGTATTTCCTAATGTATAATTGATGTACATCCAGAAAAAAATGTTTTTCTTTTCTTTGTATTTTTTATTATAAGTTCACGCTTGCTGTTTACTTTTGAAGATTATCTGGACCTAATGGCTTGAAATTTTCGTATGTTTTGAAGTATAAATTCACAGAGTGAATAAGTTTATTAAACACTCGAAAAAATTCTTTGCAAAGTCTTATTGAACAAGAGGCATGGTAGCTGAGAAGAATAAACTAAATTTTACTAATGATTAAAAAAAATTTAAAAACTTGAGTCATAAAACAGTTTCAGATAAAAATATCATTCTAAAATAATTGAAACTAAACTACTGCCAGAAACAGAAGACTCCCCTCCAAATTAGAAGTCCTAGAGCTACTATTATGGCCAGGTAATGTCAACTTTTCTAGTAAAGCTTCACAATTACTGTCAAATTAATATTGACAAGGCACTACCTACATATACAAGAAATGTTTCTCTACACATCGAACACTTATGATTAAGAATAATCTCTAGAAATTATTTTCATTTTTCATCGAAGTCTGAGATCATGATCACTATATACTCTGTACTCGCCACTTTGTCTACAGATAGATATTTGAACATCAGCACAGATTAATAAATTCATGTTTCTTGTAATATCTTGATATAGTTGAAACATGAAAATTAGAGTACGTATTGAGCTGATGTTTTTTTTTTCAAATAAACTTTCACATGTATAGTACAACGCTTCATTAATCTCTTATTTGGATACAAACAATAAATAATTGCAAGTAGAAATGTGTTACTATGTATTTTTACAATCGCAAACAAATCAGTCGTAATGAATATCATGCAGTGACAAGAGTGTATTTTTACAGTCACTTCTTTTTTGAAATACAGTAAATATTTCTTAATCTGCATCTTTTCACTTTCATTATTCTTCGGTGATCGCGTATAGAATAAAAAACGAAAGAAATTCGTTGCATATAAATCGAGATTAGACATGAAAATTGAAATGTACTATCGTTTTTGGTAAATTTTGTAGAAGTCGTATCAATACTTTCCTCATAATAGAACCCCTCTGCAAATTTTGAATACTTTGACATTTTAAAAACCCCATGGAGTTTTAATTGCGACGAGGAGTTTACAGATTTTGGCGCTATTTTCTGTCTAATTTTGTAATCTTTGTTATTTGAAGCACATAAAACATACTGAGAAAAAAACCAGTTACGACATGCACATCACAATTTTGACATAATGCTTCTAATAACAGCTAGAGTGATCATATAAGAGATGCCTCACTCTGTTGTTTTTTGACTGTTTCTGATTCTCAAAGACATTACAACCAATCAAGATAAAATTTTTACTACGGATACTTGAAAGTATTCTCCACAGATAAAGTCAGTCCCTTTAATTTTTGACTTTCCTACTAAGGTATAAAACATCCTGAAAGTCAAGACCTTGATTTTCGCGCCGAACTTTTACGTATTTCTCTCATAAAAAAAAAAAAGAAAATGAGATTTTTGAAAAAATCCATAATTAACTCTGATGAGGAAGCGTTCCCAAGTATGACTCGCCTATCGACTCGGTATTTTTTCAATAAGTAGGCTCCTACGAGATTAGTAGAAACCTGTAAGAGTTTGTGCTAATTTACTTTCCTTCCGAAGTTATTACAATTCTATGAAATTTTTTATCTCTGGCAAAGTATTTGTGACACAATCAAACCAGAAAATTTCAGTTCACAAACGATACATTGCCCTTGAGATATCGAGTCTTGAAAATACTAGGTCTTCTTTACTTTTTTTAGGACATGTGACTGGTTTTAGATATTCAATATCTCAAGAAGAACGTATCCCTTTAGGCTGAAATATTCAATGCATTCTGAAACCCATGAAACGTACCATTGAGCAAATTTTCAGGTTGAAATTCCGTACTTTGATTTTTCAGTAATACTTTGCCAGGGACCAAATATTTAATAAAACTACAATAGCCAATGTTGATTGGCGAGTTATACTTGAAGATTCTTCTCATAAAGTATAGTCTTAGATATCTTAAAACGAATGTTCAGTCCAATCAGTTATAGTCTGATGGCGGTCGTATTGTACCAGGATTTGGCTGTATGAAAGTCAGACTTTTTACAAAAAGCGGCAAAAATCCACTTGAGATTTTTTCCGCGAATACGTATTTCCTTATTTTTGGTGCTCTATTTGTAGTAAAAGTTTACAACTTGATTAGTAGTTGCGTCTTCAATAATTAGAAATAGAAAAAAGAGAGAGAGTATCCTTAATGTCATCAAAACTGTTTACACTACACTTTTACACTTTTTTTGCTTCTTTAATTGATTACATTCAGTCGTTGATTAATATTTCAGCATGAAATAAATTCGAATGTATCCTTAATCTATAGCTTGAACAATACGTTTCTTTTTATTATGTTATGTCGAAAATTATGGTTTTAGAAAAAATGATCTTGTTCTTTCAATAGTTTTATTAGAAAATTAATCATCATCATTTATGCTTTTCAATAAGAGAATTATAAAAAAATTTCATTCATTATTTATTGAACATATTTTTCATAAACTCGATCAAGATTTCTCATAAATCGTTCATCTTCTTCAACAGTTGATTTCGTCCATGCTAATGGTAAATGTTTTGAAACAGCAATACGATCTTGAAAAAAATCTCCATTTTTACATTTTTTAGCTATATCTTTTTGACAACATAACCAAATCAATGTATCAGCACCTTGTTCTGGTGTTCTTAAACGACTTTGCATTTTTGCATAAAATGTTGGCATTGCTGAACGAACAGCAGGTGTATCAACCCAACCTTCAAAAAAAAATTTTTCTTGCTAATTCATATTTCTATAAAAATTTTACCTGGATGCCATGTAGCAAAATAAATCGATGGATATCGCTCAGCAAGTCGTTCAGCCATAACAACTTGTTGTCGTTTATTTTGTGCATAAACAAGATCGCCATTAAATGTTCGCATTTGAGTTGAATTCAAATCATCCGGATCAAGTTTAACATTATACATACCTAATAAAAAACTGATATAGAAATCAAACAAAAATAATTTCTTTTTTCTTTCTTTCCTTGTTCATACCTCCTGAACTGGTTGTAAATACACGAGCAGGTTGATTTTGTGTTAAAAGAGGTATTAAATTCTTTGTTAATATATATGTACCTAATGTATTTGTTGCAAAATTTACTTCATGTTCATCATTAATTAATTGTCTTTCATTAATCATACATCCTGCATTATTACATAAAACCTAGAATAAATTGATTTTCTTTTAAGAAAAAAACAATTTTAATTAGTTTATACATTTAATGGTTTTTGTAATTGAATAAATTGTTTTGTAAATGTCGCAACATCTTGTGGTTTTGACAAATCACATAAATATAATTCAACATTTCGATTATTTGATTCTCGAATAATTTCTTCTTGAGCTTCTTTACCACGTTGTTCATCACGACAAACCATATAAACATAGGCTTGACGTTTAGCACATTCAAGTGCAGCTACTTTTCCAATACCCTTTATAAAAAAAAAACAATAAACAAACAAACAAACAAATATATGCATGATTATATAATCAAATTTTTATTTTATATATTTTTGTTTAATAAATTACCGAATTAGCTCCAGTAATCATTATATGTTGATCAGACAAATCGACATCAGTGTCATATGAATTAAATCGTTTTGATGCTGATTCAAAACCGGATCGTGTATATTCTGAAAGACCTTTGATACCAAAGATAGCTGCTCGATAAAATGACATTTTTTATAAAATTAATCTATAATAATACAAAGACAAAAAAAAAAGAACATCAATATTAATAGAAAATATTAATACCATATACATAAAAACGATGTTTAAAGATGTTTTAAATTATTTTTTAGAAGTTACAACAGTTTTCCTTCCAGCACAACCTGGTGTTATATAACACATGCATGTTACTTTGATAAGGACATTCATTGACAACAGAACGCAAAATTTGTTTTTTTTTTTTCTTTTCTTTCTTTTTCCTTCAGTTGTGATCATCGCTATTGGGATACATCATGAAGAACAAAATGGAGCAATACAAAATGCACAAAAAACGAGAGGCCTCAATGATAATTAGAAAAAATCACTCACACGAGTCTTCATCGACTCGTTCTCTTCTCTTACATGTGAACTATGAAAATGTCAATGAGATACCAAGAAAAAAACAAAAAAAAAAGCTAGATAACATTGACAATGTATCAAGCTTTCGTATAAAACAAATGAATATTGTCATTGAATTATCTAGTTATTTTCATAATTCATCCATTCAATAATGTTTGCCTTTCGTTTGAAACATCGTCGAAATATATTCAAACACATATTATCAACTATTTCATTTATTCTTTGTCGTTGGAATCATCGTATTCATATTTATCTATTTTTGATTACTTTATGCATAACTAGTTTTATATCTTATCGACAACCATTTAGTCTTTTATTTCAAGAATCACCAATTGAATCTGTTCGTAGTAATTTAATAAATCAACACAAAAAAGAACAAAAACTTGCTTTTGAATGGATAGAAAATATATTAAAACATCCACAAAATTATTCAAATCTTATTTCAAATCAAACTCAACAATCAAAATTTTATGATTATCTTCAAATAAAAACAAATCTATTATCATCTTATACATTACTTAATAAACCTAAACAAACATTATTAAATAAACAAGATCATATTATAATATCAATATTATATAGTAAACAAGATAGTGATCATCGAGAAGGAAAATTTTATATAGGTCAAATACTTTATCATTTACTTAAAAATTATCATTCACGTTTTGTAATAACATTATGTGAAAATAATAATACAAATGAACAAACATCGGATAGTATTGAACTTATTCGACGTTTATTACCTGTTTTTATAATAAATACTTTATCTGAATTTTTAATTAATACATATGAACGAGAAAAACAAGCATATTTACAATGTTTATTAGCAAATTTTCAATCATTTCCAAATGCGAATTATCTTTTATTATTACAAGATGATGCTGAACCAATAAATAAAAATTTTTATAATCAATTATTATCATTAATTGATAATCGTATTAAACAACAATGGCCATTAAATGGTCATAGAAAACAACCTGCTTTTATTAAAATATATCATCCAAGATGGTTAATTAGTTATTTTCATCCATCATTTTACATTATTATACAATTAATTGCAACAAGTCTTTTTCTTACATTAGTTTTTTTTATTTGTTTTTATTCATATCAAATTACTATTCGAGTAAGGTTAAAAAATTTATTTCAATGAGATCTTAAAATTTAGGTTTTTTTTTTTTTTCTTATATTTTAAAGAAAAAATATAATATAAATCAAATACAATGGCAATCTTACTCTCGATCATCATTAAACAATCATATATTTCTTTCTAATCTAATCACAAATAATATAAAATTATTCTATTTTATATTTTACTTTTTTCTTATCACTTTAGTTCTTATCTTACTTGATCATTCTAATGTTTCATGGACATGGCGTTCATTACATCCATCATTTTATTCTATTTATCCAGCACCATCATGTTGTTTACCTGGTGTTATTTATTTTCGACAAACTTATATTCAAGTCATTGAATATTTAAATAGTATTACATGTAATAAAAACTATGCAATTGATACAGCTTTTGATGATTTACCAAAACGTACACATCTTCAAACATATCTTGTTGAACCTAATTTAGTTCATCATATTGGATTATATTCAAGACTTCGAAAGATGTATATTAATCCATATTTATTGGATTAATGCCAACTGTGATAAAATAAACCAAATAATCAGATATTTATTTTAATATATTTAAATAAATATGTATAGGTTATTAATCATGAGGAAGTAACATGGTTTAGAAATAAATAATTTAAATAAATTTTTACATTGAAGGATATTTGTGATAATGACTTAAGCACTCTAAGAAATCCGATAATTTTTGAGATTACCTTCTAGTCGTATAGAAAACACCTCTACATTAAAATAATCTTAAAAGAATTTCAGCCTATAGATTCTTTTATAGAAGTGCGATAATTTTGTTGGATTTTTATCATAAGTCGATGCATCGACAAAGAAATGACACGAAGATTTTTATTTGATTTTGAATTTTGTCCATAAATAGAACTCATCATTACAAGAATGTTCTAAACTCGATTAAATAGATTAAGAAAACGCTCGGCGAAATCAGCACTTTTTCAACGTTGAATAAGAAAGTTATTTTTTTCATTGAAATTTAAAAAAAATATTCTTAGAATCACGAGACTGACTTATCAATAAAAGTTCCGGTCGAAAACCTTTTGTTCAATTTCTCTTCAAATATCCTAGTCTATCAGAGGTGCAGAATCTTCCAAAAATCCAAAAATTTCCCCCCACGCAAAAAATTTTTTTGAAAAATTTCCCCACTGTATTTTTTTTTGGCCGGCGGGTTTTTCCAAAATTTCCCTATTATTTGAGTTTTTCAAAAAATTTCCCTCCCCGCGCGGGGGCGCATGAGGAAGATTCTGCACCTCTGTAGTCTATGATAGAAATCCATCGAAACCATTGTATCACTCTGTAGAGAATACCGATGGATCTGAATTTCTTTGAGATTATTCTAATCTAGAGGTTATGAATTCTTGAAGATAATTAGAAAACGACGTATTATTTCATTGCTGTTGTTTTCTTGATTTTAATCCATCTTATTGTTTTGGATGTAAAAAAGAATTGAGACAGATTGTCGACCATTTGAGCATATTGATCATTATCTCGTTTACGAATCACATGAAATCATATAACAGATATTCTTCAATCTATATTACAATAATAAAAAAGTATGAATTTACATTGCCTTTATAAGTAGTAGACAAGACTTTGTTCGCAGATAAATATTTAAACATTTGGCATACTATTTTTAAATAATTGAGTGTTAATTTATTTGTTACTTCTAGATTTAAGGTGTCATCTGTAGAATAAGTATCTACTTCTTTTCTATTGAATTGAATAAGAATACCAGTAGATACACATTGGTGAGCAAAAACAAAAGCTTGATTCAAAATAAGAACAAAAATGACATATGGTATCCTCTGTAGGTACAGGATTAAACTTTTCACCATTTATTTGAACTAATGTATCTCCAACAATTGCATCATTTGTAGAGTAAGAACCATTGAATTGATTGACAACATCGAGTCGAATTTAATGAATCATCCACCACGTACATTAATTTCGTAAATGCTATTTCACTATTCAAATTGCTTTATTTTTAACAATCTATACTGAATGATAGAATTCTCTAAATAGTTTCATAAATCTCATCTTTACCCTACATTTAACTATATTTTCTCGAAAGCACTATAAAATTTTAAAGGTAAATAGATGAACAAGAATATTTTACATCTGGCATTTCTACTATAAGCGTTAGCACATCTATAATTGGAAAAATTTATATATCTAATTAATAATGATAAATTCTTAACTAATAATATGATCGTTCAGTTGAATTTGAATTGAAGAACTTTCGATCGTGTCACAGATACATTCCTATCTTTTTTCATTAATATGCCTTAAAAACACAATATTATTATAATAAATCAGTTGAAATATTCATGTTTATTTACAGCTTTTCTTGATCCATAACGAGATTCAAGATTGACTGTCTTATTAACTAATCTATGATTATTTTTATTTGGCGAAGCTGCACAAACATAGGAAACAGATTGTATTCATGATAATGTGTATATGTTGTTGATTGCTTGGATTTCGATTCGTATAAAAATTCTTCCAAAACAATTAGTAAAGAAATATATTTGCTGACTTTTTCTATTTGAATGTTGGCCAACAGTTATTGAAGAATTGGAAGATAGTTTTTCATTAAAAGAAGAATATATTGCGTCTGATCCTAAATAACTACTAGCTGTGAAAATGTCAGAATATGCAATCTAACAAGCATTAACAAACTTCACAGCAGTCATCATCCATTGAGACACGAGAACTAATTTAACCAATATGAATTCAAACTGACGGTTTGACACTTAACTCTATTTGAAAAAATAAAAGATCAATCGTACAATTACTAGCTATATTAAAGAATAACAGATACCGAAAACAACAGTCTTTCTTCATGTTAGCTATGAAATACATTAGGATAGTTTTAGTTTAATGGCAGTATTTTTATGTAATTGATAAGTTATATACTTTTCGAATTGCAATTCATATAATATTTATCAAACGAAGTCATACTTAAATGTATTTTCATGACTAAGAACTGTTTACGATTAAAATTGTCAACAACTGATCTATTGAGATTTCTTTTTATTTATTTCATTCTTAGCGTTTGAAACAAGTCACATTAATTAAGAACTTGACTACAGTAGTTCTCTATTGCTATGATCACAAAAACAAAAATGTATTGTAACTTATTTCAAAAATAATATCGATTTATTATTCAAAATAAGTACATGATTTAACGATTATTGCATATTATACAACTTGATTTAACACATTTCCAATTAAATGGTCATCACATCTTCATTACCATTATCACACAAAAAAGAAACAGTCAATGAACGTGATGAACATGTACTCATTACAGAATATTTAATATCTACAAATAAAACAAAGAATGAAACTAAAGAAGACGAACATAGTATTATTGCTGTTAGTCCAAATGATCATCGATGGTATCGGTAAGTAAAATTCGAAAAAACAAATTTAAAAAATTAAAAAACTGTATAGATTAATCGAATTACGTAATGGTTTGCGTTGTATGTTAATAACAAATAATTCATATGAAGATGCAGATGATGATGACGATGAGAGAAGCAATCAATATGATACAGAGTGAATTATAGAATTAAACAGTATTTGTAAACTAAAATGTGTATTATGATTTTAGTGATAAATTACTCTCTTCAGATGCAGATGAAGCATTTTTCAAATATCATATGGTTAGTACATGATATATGTGCAAGTAATTTTAGCCAATTCATGCTTATTTTCTAGGCCACTGTAGCATTATATATTCCAGCTGGTTCTCTTCTAGATCCTTCAAATTTCCAAGGTCTTGCTCATTTAACTGAACATTGTATATTTATACTTAACATATTTATTTATTATTGGATCACAATTCTTCTCAGTACTTTTTTCTAGTTCATCTAAATACCCTGAAATGAATTGTCTTGATACATTTATTTCATATCATGGTGGAACCATTCATGCATATACAGAACTTGAATTTGTAAGTAATAATACATATTATTAAAGATCATTTATTTCATTATATTATTTCAATAGACAGTTATTGTTATTGAAATTTCATCGAATCGTATTGTTGAAACACTTGATATTCTTATACATTCACTCATTGATCCTCTTATGTCACCTGAAACAATACATGATCAAATTCAACTTATTGACGATGAATGTACAATTGCACAATTTGATGATCATTATCGAGCATCACGTCTACTTGCATATTTAGCTAAAGAAAATCATCCAATAAGAAATTTTTCTTGGGGTAAGAAAAAAAACTAATAAGATTTCTATTTGATATATTGCAATAAAATTTTTCTTAGGAAATAAAAAGAGTTTAAAAGAATTTATTGCAAATAACAATAGTTCTACAATTTTAAAACAATTTGTTAGAGATCGATATTGTGTTCCAGAAGGAATGAATCTTGTTATGATATCAAATGGTAAGTCAAATTAAGAATTTGAATTTCAAAAAAAATTAAATTTCTCTATCATTTAAGAATCATTCCGAATAATGCAACAACGTATTGAACGATTATTTTGTTTAATGAAACGCAGGTATTCAATCCACATAAAATAATTTCAATTTAGCTAGAAAATTGTTTTTTCTCGAAATATTTAGTTTTAAAACTTTACCTGATTATATAGGTTTAAAGGAACCATGGAATACAGATGATTTTAAAAAATTTCATCTTGGTACGTATGATTAACAAAATATCTACTAAAAAAAATGAGAAGAAAATAAGCCTACGCTCAAACATTTGAAGATTTGTTTGACGGTAGAAGCAACGCGTCAGGTTAATTGGATATTTCTACACTAGAGCTGCCAATCTGACGATCAAATATTGATGTATCGCTTTATTATTGACAAATACTTTGATAAATTCATTCGGCTTCAAAACAATGTTTGAAATGAATGATCAGTTAATGTTGTAGGGCTTACATTGACGGACAGTAGAACTTGCTTAGATCCAAATCAATTTGATAAGAAATATTGTATCCGTACTGTTGCAAAAAATTCATTGTCTAACATCATATGTCGTTTTTGCCAGCATGATTACTTTTTTTTTGATTGTGCGAGTTAATACTGATATAATCAAAAATAGTGCATTAATTCCAACATTTCTCGTTTGAAAAATATTTATGATGATCGTCTCGCTGTTCTTATTTTCTATTTCGCTCAAGAACTTGATATTATCTTTTCTTTTTGAAAATAAATTAAGTGAATAATTGAAAATAAAATTATAAAATGAATGCTGGATTATAGAAATGAACGTATTTGAAAAATCAGAGATATTAATCAGTCTGGTTTGACCTTTAGAGCAGAAAAAAAATGGCCTGTTAGCATCTTTGCTCTATATAAAGTTGTTGATCAAACAAAATTCAATGAAATACATTCGAATTTATATTTAGATCTGATGAATTCTGAAAAGAATAATTCATCTAATAGAAAGTGCAATTAGACATAGATTTTATTTTTAGAAATCATTTTTCTTTTGTCTTTCTAATGATTTAATATGTTTAGTTTATCCATCATATTGCATTTCTGAAGGGTTAAGTGAAACAATTGTAAAGAAATATGTAGGACAATGCATAGAATAAAATAATTTTCCTGTGATTATCAACAGTACTCGATAAAAAGTCTTTTTTTCGCTTCAAAAAGAATATTTCCATTCAGGGAAAAAAACAGTCCCTATAACATATTTGGTTGAGTGCTGTTGATAGAATCAGGTTTTTTTAAAGAAAATCTCTCTTCGTTGAATAATCCCATTAATCTCTTGACTCCAAGACCAACTGAAACGATAGCTCGAAACGAATTTCTAAAACATCATATATAAGTGTAGTCAATCCAAGGGGAAATAGCGAGACTTCATCTACTTCCGAAGTTTTTTTGAAGTACGAGGAAGTACCATGGAAGTACGAGGAAGTATCGTGGAAGTACGAGGAAGTATTGTGGAAGTACGAGAAAGTATCGCGAAAGTACAAGGAAGTATCATGAAAGTACGAGGAAGTATAATGAAAGTAAAATGGAAGTACGAGAGAAATACAGATGAAGAACAAGGAATTATATGGGAAGAAACGATGAAGAACAACGAACCACGTTGGACTATGAATGACCTCCGGTATCAATATCATAGTTTCTGTTAAGTACGCTATTATTCGAATCCATGATACATAATACATCCAATAATAGTTTTCATAAGATAATTTTCTGTAGGGGTGTCACTTTTGCGTTCCGTTCCAAGGACAAGACACGGGACATATATTTCCTTAACTTTTAACGGAAGGCTTCCGAATTCATTGAACGAAAGGCAATTTCCTAAAAATAACTATTTTTTATAAAATTTGACCAAAGGTAATCGGAGTTCAGAAATTCGAATCTCCAATCGGTTTTTCAAAATTTTGAGTTTGATTTTTCTTGTCGAGAAAAGGCTATTTTCTGAAAATAACGATTTCTTATAAAGTTTGACCGAAGGTAATCGTGATCGAGGCGTCTGAATCTGCAGTCAGTTTCACAAAATTTTGAGTTTGATTTTTTACGTTAGAAAAAGGGTATTTTGAAAAATAACAATTTTTTGTAAAATTTGATCAAAGACAATCGAGGTCAAGGAATTTGAATCTATAATTCGTTTCTCAAAATTTTGAGCTTATTTTTTTCACTAAAACAATTTTTTAGCCAAAAACGATCTATTTTTGGAAAATTTTTTTTTCTTAAAAATATATTTTTAGTAAAAAAAATTAAACTCAAAATTTTGAGAAACCGATTGCAGATTTTGATTCTTCGACTCCGATTACTTTCGGTCAAACGTTATAAAAAATCGATATTTTTTAGGAAATTGCTTTCCATTGGATGAATTCGGAAGCCCTCCGTTAAAAGTTAAGGGAATCCATGTCGCGTTCTCATTCCCGGTCCTGGGAACGGAGAACCCTAAGCATCCAAACATAAAAATACAAGCGAATATGTCTAGAAACCTCGCCATGTTGAAACAAAGCTGACAAATGCAATCTTGAGACACGTTCCCGTTCCTAGGAATGAAACGCTGAGAAACGGGAACACTAGCACCCCTACTGAGATAACTTCTTGAAAATTGTTTCCACTCGATAACTATTATTTATTTTGCATTTTTGAAAGCTATATAAACTTACACTTCATTCAATAAGTAATTTATATGTGAATAACACAACGATAATACCAAACTAAATGTTCTTCATCAAAAAGTACGCTTCATTTAATCAGGTTTTTTTCTTAGAAAGTGGACCCATCTCTATTGATAAAGATCAAATTCCAATGTGTCAGCAATTAAAAAACTGATTCTAATCATCTCATACAATCTTTCAATAATGTTGTAAAACACATTGCTAATATTTCGGATAAATCGGCACTATCACAAATTATATGGATGTAGAGACGATTAAAGAACTCATAGAAATCAGAAAGAGTTTTACCTTGATTTGAAATTGTGTAAAATGGTGGGCACAAACCCCTGATTCAATATCAGTGAGATATAATTTAAGCATAGTGAAATACGAATGAAGTACCGTGAAAGTAGGCATGCACCGAACCCGAACTTCTCGGCGTTCAGTCATTCCCAGGGTTCGGTCATTTTGGAGTTCAGTCGTTCCCGGGGTCCAATCGATACTAAGTTTTGGCTCAATCCAAGTCTTCCCTTCAATCTTATACGGTTCCACTAGTATATAGATTTGACTAGGGAATTTCTACCCAAGGTAAATGGAGGTCGAGGAATTCGAATCTACAAATAGATTTTAAAAATTTTGAATCGGATTTTTTGAGCTGGGGAAAGAATTTTTTGAGCAAATAACGATATCATATAAAGGTTGACGAAAGTGAATCGGAGTCGGAGAATTTGAATCTGCAATTAGATTTTCGAAATTTCGAGTTCAATTTTTTGACATAGTTTTCTATAAAAACTGATTTTTAAAAGCAAAGATTTTATCTTTGACAAAGAATTTTGTAAAAAAAAAAGCAAGATGTTTTTATAAAAAACAAAGTTGTGAAAAGATTAACTCAACATTTTGAAAAACCAGTTGAAGATTTGAATTCCCGGATCCCGACTTCCTTTCGTCAACCTTTATTACAAATCTTTATTTTCTCGAGAAACTCTTCCCCTAACCGAAAAAACCCAATTCAAAATTTTAAAAATCTGACTTCAGATTCGGATTCCTCGATTCCGATTCACTTTCGTCAACCTTTATAAGATATCGTTATTTTCTCAAAAAAATCCGATTCAAAATTTTCAAAATCTATTTGTAGATTCGAATTCCTTGATCTCCATTTACCTTTCGTAGAAATTTTCTAGTCAAATCTATATGCTAGTGGAACTGTATAAGATTGAAGGGAAGATTTGGATTGAGCCTAAAATTAGTATCGATTGGACCCCGTGAATGACCGAACCCGGAAATCCTGGTCTGTTCTCGGGTTCGGTGCATGCGTATGCGAAAGTACTACGATTTATAAAGAAGTACAACGAGATATAACAGAGTACAAGTAAAGTACAAGGAAGTACGGAGAAGTATAATGGAAGTCCAAGGAAGTATGAGAAAGTACGATGGAAGTACGAGGAGGTACGATGGAAGTATGAGAAAGTACGAGGAAAGTATGAGAAAGTATGATGGAAGTACGTGGGAAGTACGCACTCTTGAAGTCTTGCTCCTTCCTCCTTGAGACACTCAGACTTCTCACAGATTTAACGACAGTCGATTTTCTCTTGTCTCTGCCAAAAATTTGCAATTCACATGATTCTACAGTGACACAACAAAAACTTACTATTAAATTGATTCTTGAGACATACCGAAATGAATAAAAAGCAATTTATTAAATGATTAAGTAGTTAAAGAAAATTTTATATTATTCGATTGAAACTTTTTCATTCGAGAAAAACCTATTCTGTCAAAATAATGAATGTGCACAATAGATCCGAAAACATTAAATCTTAATGCTATTAGTCAAGTTTTTATAAAAAGTCATTATTTTTGCGAAATAGATCCCCTCTAATCGAAAGACTTGCAATGAAATAATAAACAGAAAAATTTAAACCTTATATTAATGATTAATGGGTGCCTGTTGCTTGCTTTTCATTATTAGTCTGATTAGATGACTAATGTTAATCCAGATTTAGTACTTGAATAATTTTTGTAAAAGAAGTTCAATATGAAAAAATGGCTGCGAAGTAGAACTCTTTTAAATATCTGCAACCATTTTGTTTTTTTTTGTCTGACTTAGCTCTTTAAATTGTCTAGGACCTTTAATGGTTGATTAATAAATGAACGAAACCTTTTCGTTCAGAAAGTAACTACATCATGATTCAATGTTTGAATTCTGCAGAAATTGTGCTGACAGCTTTTTTTATCAAGAGAAATTAAAAACACAAATATATCAATATTCATTGCAATCGTTTTAAATGTTTCTATTGTTTCATTTAAGGAATCGAAAGAACTCTTCTATCTAACACAAAATATACTTGAATTAGATTCTGTATCAAAAATATTATTACCTTCGGTAAAAATTCTTTAACGAAATATAAATAATAAATTTTGATTTGAAGCTTCGTGCAACACAATTACCAGCACAACAAACTATTGTTAAAATTGAAAGTTATCAATCAAATGATTGTGCTACTCATATGTCAATCTTTTTTGAACATGGTATTACTTCAATACGAGATTATATACTTATAGAAATTATTGCCGAACTCATACAAGAATCACTTGAAGATTATTTACAAACAGCTGGTCCAAATCATTTTACATGTAATGGTATGTAAAAATGAAAAGCTTTATGTCCAATATTACATATTATAACATTTTAGTAACACTTCGTGATACCTATGGTATTATTTCACTTCAAATTGAATTGTAAAGATTTATTTTATATTTATATAAATCTTCATTTTATATTTTTTTTAAGAATGTTTTCATCTGAAATTTATAATTCAATGGTAAAATTTATGATATACACGTTCAAGTTGGACCATGAATAGTACTACAATAAAATAGCTGCAATAGTTTTACTTTGGTTTGCTCGAAAGGACTGAGTTCTTATTTAGTGATAAAAGGTTTTTTTAAAGTTAAGTCATATTTTTGGCCTCATCTAAAGATATTGTAGCTATTGTCAAGTAAGAATAATATACAAGAAGTATTTCACAGATAATTTCCAGTTAGTGTCTCAAAGAACAGTATTTATGTACCTAGAACAAATTTTGTAAACTAGTAGACAGTTAAAATGCTGAAATTTGTACTCCATAAGTAAAATACATTATTGCATTCCATTCGATCATAAATTTCCTTTCAAAAACTAATATTCCATATTTGACAATTCAATAAATGTTGTAATAGTTCACTTTTTAACTAACTAATTTGAAATTTTGCTCTATGTTCTTAAGAAGGAACGTTTTCAACTAACTAATCACTTTTTCATCGAAAGCTAGTGTATTATGAATTATGGATCATACAGATTCCGAACATGACGAGGAGAAATCTGAAATTTTTCTATCTAAGTTGTCTAAAAAAATTGTTTATCCAGTCTAAGAAACTTTTCACCAAAAGATTTTTTTCATCTGGTCAGATTACAGAGCACACTGAATTGCGTAGAATACGGTAATTTTTTTTAATTTCAAATCGCTTTTTTTTTGCAGAAAATACATTGGAAAACCAGTATGTCAACATCTATGAAAATTTCTTATCGATATGTTCGAGATCAGTATGAGCGATAATCGATAATCCATGAACTTTCTGTGAGAAAACGATTGTTTAGTTGAAAAACATTTTCCCGTTAGATGACAATTGAAAATCATCTATGAAATGCTTCCAACGTATTTTTGTTACTTGATAGCATATTAAATTGTTTTCATAATATCAACAATAATACTTAATAGTAGTATATGCTTATCTTATTCATATGAAAAAAACTTCGAATAGACTTCTGCCACGAACTAAAAAACCAACCCATTTGATTCAACCAATCTAAAGATATTTTATTCTTTTTATTGTATTGCTATTGATGGTTCACTCTACAGTTATTAATTGTACTTAGTTGTTTTCTCTATTCTAAATAGGATGTTGTTGATTTTGTATCAAAATTTTTTGTTCATTTTAAAGATCTTATTATGGAAACAACAACAGTAGAATTTGAACGACTTTTAAGCATGTTTCGAAATGGTATATTGTAAACATTTATTTATTATGTTAAACAATAACTATTCATTTAATTAGCAAAACAAAGTATGGATAATTCTCTACAAGCATGTGTTGATCGATATTGGACTGAAATTATATTAAATTCATTTATATTTGATCGAAATAATCAAGAAGTAAGCTTAATTCTAACTACAATTCTTACATTTTTATTCAACAAATTTAGCGTAATGCTCTTGATAGTTTAACTGTAACTGATATGCAAGAATGGTATAATGAACATATATTTGCATCTACTTGTCGTCAGTTAATTATTATTGTATGTCCTAATGATGAAATGAAACGAACATCATCAGGTATTATGTCGACTAATAGAGTATCAAATGTTTCATATGATAATCAACGAAATCAATATAGTACTCGATCAAGTGCTGGCATACCAATAGAACGTCTTCCAAGACTTGTACGTCGTCAAGATTTATTGGAAGAAGATGATGATGATGATGATGGACATATATCGTTATTACAATCAAAATCTGAATCTAAATTACGTTGTCTAACAACAAAACGAAAACATAATATTGATTTACGTCCAACAAAAAGTGAAACACTTCATTTAAATAAACCATTCGATTATTCAAATGAGACAATGAAACTTGATTATATTATTAAATCATTTGAATCAATCGAAATTAATGATGAGCATAATACAAATCAATATGGAAAAACATTAAAAATATTATTTGAATCTGACTCTGATGAATCGAAAAACTCTTATGTTTATATAAATAATTTAAAACAATTTAAAGAATCATGTTTACTATATAATGTTACATGTATTAAATAAATAAAAGTCTATTCCAGAATAACAATTTAGGTCAAAGAGAATTTCTTTTGGGTTATTCAGAAACAGTTTTTTAAAAGGGGGGCGGGGGAAGCGGGCCTCAGAAATCAACTTTGTTATTTTTCATCCGATTTCAACCAAAACTTCAGAAAATGTTAGTCTAGGCTAGGATAGATTACGGTTAAAATATCTCCTCCAAATCTCAAAGATATGCACAAGTTCTAGTCGATTCATTGGTCAAAAATACCCTTTACGCGGGCAAGGTTTTCAACATGAGGATATTAGCTAAACATGTCGGCGTGGTTTTTAAATTGTAGAGTACTCTTAGGGCTAGATCCTAATAGTGTCCGATTTTTGAATTTCACTTTGTTTGTTTTTTAAAAAACCTTTTTCGAAAAATTCTCGAATTCATGATCAAAAAAGTCAAAACGAAAGATCCAAGTTTTTTATTGCAGCAGAAGAGAAATTCAAAAATCGGGCTCTATTAGGATCTAGCCCCACTTGTCCTTTATAAAATAAGAAAAAATTATCCCTCCTCTATTGAGTTGTTATTAAGAAAGGCGTGCCCGCGTAAACGGTATACTCGAAAAAACTGATTTTGAGAAAAACGGAAAATAAGTTTTTAAAAGCCTTATTTTTTCCAATATGGAGGTTCAGAAAAACTTATGTAATATTCTTAAAGCTCATCATAAAATCAATCAACTATAGTGCATTCGAGAGTAGACACTTTGCTCTATCTAATGAGTTATATATCACAAAATCGATAAATTTGACCAAAATTGATTTTTTTGAGAGGGGGGGGGGGCCCTTAATAAATAACAACGATAATTTAGTCAATGATATGTAAAAACATACAAAAAATCTGCTCATAGCACTCAGTATTATAATTTGTTTAAAGTACGTGGTATTTGATCTACATAAAGAATAAAAAGATCAGTTCCAGTCACATGAATTCTTTGAACAATTCTTGGGATATTAATTGAACTAGAGTGTAGCAAAATATTAAAAATCCTTTTTAAATATTTTAATTTAGAAAAGTTTAAAACTGTCTTTATAGTAACTTTATTCCGATGATTTGTTACTAAATAAATTTTGGTACTCATTCCATTGTTAAATTTAATTGATTGAAACATAATCCAACCGCTACATTGAATAGTATCCAATATCCAAGTTTCTATGCGAACGTGTATGTCTGTTGAAATTCAACTCTTGAAACAAGAATTTCGTTACTCGAAAAGAAAAGTTTTAAGGGCAAAGTAGAAATGTTGACAAATGAAACGATATTTCATGGTGATTTTGTTCAGTTTTGGAAATGTTTATTAGGCATCAAGTCTTCGTCTCCGATGATGAAGAAAAATTTTGGTGGATTCTAATTAATCTGATTCAAATTCTCTATACAGTTCTTCTTCAAGTCATTGTCAATATATCATTCAATATTTACTAATACGAAACTGATTGTTTCTTTAAAAACATTTTTTAAGTCTGTTGAACTAATGTAAGACAATTGTTATACAAAACCTTTATTGCGTTACTGAAATCTATTAATCTGACAAAAAAGAAAAACAAAAAGGTGGCTGAGTCAATCGTAGTTTACGAAGTGTGCATCTAGAGCATATTTGCATCAACTCAAGCTTTATGGTTCTGTCACCAAGAGTTATTGGCAGATTTAATTGACTTCAGGTCGGAAATACAACTTCCTACGAACTGCTCATAGTTTGAGAAACAATTCATTTCTTGACTGGTAATGATGGTATACATAGGAATTTTTAAATAATTTTATTTTTATAAAGCAGTAGATTATTATCACACAAATGAATATGAGCGTCATCTATTAATTATCCATAAAATATCACCATATGTCCAAAATAATATAATTCTTTCAATCAATGAATTTCTGTTCTGTTATTTTTATTATTTAGATTCTAATTGATAAATGTAGCGTGTGATTTCGTCCTATCATATCCGTTTTTACATTCAAGTGTCATTATTATTTTATATAAAAAAACTATGGATATCGAACAAGCACATATAAGATATCCATTAAGACGACGTCGTCTTCTATTTAGTAAAGCAAAATTGAAAGCTGTTTCACGTACAAGTGCTCTTCTATCCGGATTTGCTATGGTCAGTGATTTATTTTTGTAGGTATTGTATGAATACGATCATCTTATCAAAGTTTTTTTTTCTACTATTAATTGAACAGGTTGCGATGGTTGAGATATCATTAGATGATCACAAAAATTCTAAAGCATCAGCACCATTATTAGTCGTCTATTCAATTGTAACATGTCTTCTTGTTGGTGTACATCTATTAGCATTAATGATTAGTACATGTATATTACCACAATTAGAAGCTGATAGTTTAGTTGGTTATGATGAATATGCATCACATACAACAATGCATATTTATATTGAATTAGCTTGGATATTAAGTACTGGATTTGGTAAGAGTTTTCTGTTTATTTTTTTAAGTATAAAATCTAATTATTCATTTTTTGATTTAGGTATATTTTTATTTCTTGTTGAAATAGCACTTGTATGTTGGGTTAAATTTTTCTTTGTAACACGTCCAGCTGCTATAGCAACAACAATTGTTATTGTACCAGTTATAATATTATTTTGTATATTTTCATTACATTTTTATCGACGTCTTGTTTCATTTAAACTAAGTCGTCATCAAGATGAATTAAATGAAATTGAAAATACATTGACAACTGGAAGACTTGCGCAAGCGAATATTGTTTAATGAACTAAAGCAAAATGAACAATTATATGACAACTTCTTTGTTTTATTTTTCATATTTACAATCTCATATAATAAAAATGGTGTTTCATGTCTTTTTTTTCTTGTCTATTGTGCAAAATATATTCTGTCTTTGTAGATATTTTTTTTGATATTGTTGATATACGATAACAATGACAGTGGAAAAAGGTGAAGCAATTAAAGAAAAAGGTTAGAATATTCATTGATATTGTTCAGTCGTATTTTGAATGTTAAAATATATTTTCTTTTCAACAAAAGTTATTAAAAATCATAAATCGTTCATATTTTTGAGATAATAGAAAATAGATATCTAGAACTTTTCTTTCTCAGTCGAAGTGTATTATGTGATAGAATTGAGATCGAGATTAAAATTTTCGGTTAGAGTTATGCATGAAATAGTACTCAATAAAACATTGATCACTGGTCATCGATTTATATCCCATACTATCGAAGATTTCTAACATAGTCCAAAAAATTGCACATAAAAAATATTTAAAAAAAAATGATTAAAATAAAATAGAGATGTACAGGATTGATATATACTCACAATCTCGAAATTTACAAGTCCAGAAAAATCAAAAAATAAAAGAAAGGTTATGACTAAAACTGTCGGTGTCTATCCCATCTTTATTCAACTCGATGGGGCGTGGATACTGCTGGTAGGATTACCATACTGTAACGTGCAGGATAGTCTAGAGTAAGAGTTGTAGAATTTTTCTCAGTTAGGTTATGAGTATCTCTAAAATAAAATCAATCCTATCAATGAGTCTTTTTTGAAATCATTCTTGATTCTTCTATCCTTGATGAACTGAGAAGTTTAACTAAAATTAATTGATACGGTTTCTTTTAATAGGCAATAATCATTTTTTACAAAAGAAGTATAATGATGCAATCAGTTGTTATAATCAAGCATTAAAACAAAATGGTGAAAAAGCTACCTACTATGTTAATCGTGCATTATGTTATATAAAATTGAAACAATGGGATAAAGTATATCAAGATGTTTGTCATAGTCTTGATCTTGATCCAAATTATATCAAAGCTCATGCGTACTTAGGTCAATATTATATTGAACAACAACGATATGATGAAGCAATAATATGTTGTAAACGAGCACTTGAATTATGCAAAGTTTGTTTTGTTGCAAAAAAAAATTCAGGAAAATCATTATTGTTTTTCTTTTTGTTGTAATAGATCCAAAATAAAAATTTTGGTAATGAAATTCAAAGACTTTTACATTATGCACAAAAATGTCGTTTTTCATTAATGGAACAAAAACGTTTTGAAAATGAAAATAGTTTACAAACATATCTTCATTCATTAATGCAAACAGATAAAGAACGACGTATGCAATTATGTATTGAAAAATATTTAGAAGATAATGAAACTAATACAAATAAACAAATTGAATCAGAATCCATATCACCTTTATCAACAACAGCGAATAGTTTTTTAATTTTAAAACAATATTTATCACAAACAATGGATTATCATAATCAACAGACAACAACAAATCTTGATTCAATGGTTCCAGTTAGTTCAAAAACAGCTACAACACCTGATGATCAAATGAATAATGTTATCGATCCAATACTTGAACAAACATTATTTGAAATCGAACAAACATCTAATCAATCATTGCATGAATTGAATAATTTATTTAATGAAGTTAATATAAAAAGAAAACGACGTGAAATACCAGAATATTTAACATGTAAACTTTGTTACGATATCATGAGAGATCCGGTTATTACACCATGTAAATTAAATATTTCTCTTTCAAAGACCCAAAGAAAACAAATGTTTTATTTCTGATTATTTTTTTTTTTGTTTTAGTTGGTATTACTTATTGTCGATCATGTATTGAAGAAAATCTGTACAAAGTTAGCCATCTTGATCCAATAGCCAATAAACCATTAGTTGCTGAACAATTAATTAGTAATCTTGTAGTTAAAGAAATCGTAGAAAAATTTATTACAGAAAATGAATGGGTCAATGCAGAATAATTTTCAACAAAATAATATGATCAAAATAAATATATCCTCTTTTTTGACAGCCGTATTTATTTTTTGTATATGCATTTAGATATATATCGGACTAGATCATTAAACGAGTAAATAGTAGATAAAGAAAATATAAAGAACAGTGAATTTTTTGCGGTGACTTGTGAAATATGAAATAAAATGATTATCCTTGATTTGGTTTCGCTCAAGAATTATTTGTAACATGGTTTTTATTTTTTAAATAAATATTATAAACATGATAGCATTCAGCTTATCAGAGAACCTCTTTAGCTACCACTTCCGGCTACAACAGTTTTTCATGTATATATACTACATGATGTTTTAATAACACCTTAAAAAGGACTTTGATTTCTATTGACATTTGACAAAGCTATCGAACTGTCCATGTGTCTATTTCCTAGAGGCCCCAAGTTTTCGGACACCTTCTATTTTCAAAATTTGATCTAAAGGTTTGTACATATAGACAACTCAACTAGATTACCTGTGCAAGAATAATTCAGAAGTTTTCAAGAGCATCTCTTCAAAATATGAGACTTTCAATATATAGATCTTTTTCCATGGATAGTGAAGTTTAGGTAAGTTCTCTATATGCACAATGTTTAGATCAAATTTTGAATATACGAGTTTTCTGAAAATCTAGGATCTCTAGATACTAAATGACATTCGAGTTCCATTCGACTACAAAATGCGGTGAAACACGCCCAATGCCGATTGCCAGATAAATCGAAAGTTTCTAAAAAACATCCACTAATTATTTGAACAATTGAATATGAAACACTTTTCTTTAGAAGATCATAACACGATACGGGAATCAGAACTGGCTTTTTGTCGCTGTGAATTTGAAAAATTACATTTCGACCAAGCAGATAATTGAAATCAGAAAGACACTGTGAAGTATAAACATTGCAGAATTCATTACTAAGAGAACTCTATTAACAGATATGAACAAAATTTTAAAGAATATTTTCCATTGATCATTTGATTCTCTCTCTCCGATTCATTATCGATTATCAGGTATTATGACTGCTGTCTTCGTTTTAACCTTCTCAAACCTTGAAAAACAACGAAATCCATAAAAAGAAGAAGATCGCTATGTAGCAAAATCGTCCGTAGTCTCACCAAAAATTCAATTTTATGTTACCTGTTTTGTTGTTTTGAGTGTCTAAAATCTTTAGCTAATAGAATTAGATCTTCTAATGCATTTTGTATTGTATACCAATTGGCTGAGCTACCAAAGATTTATTCATATTATATGTCCTCACAAAGATTAGATTATTGAGTGTTTTTAGAGAAAATACTACTTTCATTTGCTCATAAATTTAGTCGATATAAATATAAAATTAAGCTGTTTCAGTTCTATATCAAATGTTGTATGGACATATGACAAAGCATTATTCCTTGCCTTTTCTTATATAAGAATTTGGTTCATATTGCATACTAAAGCCTGTCCGAAAATTAAATGGTCGTGGGTATTTTTGCAATAACTCAGGAACAGAAAGAGCTAGAGAGCTGCGATTTTCACCATTGCGTAGATAAATGAGTACTCTATATATTCATCAAGACATGCTGGAAATCCTTGCTGTTTCAGTGTTATCCCACCACGAACCTTTCAAACAGTCCATTGCGGTTTTTTAAAGTTCTATGGAGACATATATATCTAAAGTATGCAAAGCATAGCTAGGAGACCCCTCTACAAAACCACGCAAGGCTGAGCTCTCTAGCTATTATGGTTCAAAATTTGCGCCTATTTTCCTGAGGTCCATGCAAGTCGTTTTTCTTAATGCTATAACTTACGAGTTCATACAACAAAACACCTTGTTGATCATAGTATTCTTTACGAAAACTACTGTTCTGAATCTCAAACAACTCTTGTAATTGAAAATGGGGAGTTAGAATATGCAGAAGGACCGTAGATTGCGAATATGTCATTAAAATGGAGAAAAATAAAAAAAGTGCAATTTTATGAGAATGTATTGGAAAATGTCACTAATTTATATAAACCAACATTTAACTCTTCTATACAGTATTTATTTCATTTTTGTATAGTCTTTGCCACGTTGCATTCGTATTCTTAGGATCATACATTTCTTTTCTTTTCAAGAGTTTGGTCATTCAAAATTCCTTCCGAAAAACAACATCAATAACACCACAAAGGTGAACGTATAGGCACATACACTGATTCCCTTTTTATTTAAAAAAACGATTACGGTTCACCTAAAGGATATTAAGAGTAGCTACGAAGCGTGATAAAGACTATAAAAAATAAAATAAATACTGTATAGAAGAGTTAAATGTTGGTTTATATAAATTAGTGACATTTTCCAATACATTCTTATAAAATTGCACTGTTTTGATTTTTCTCCATTTTAATGACATATTCGCAATCTACGGTTCTTCTACATAATCTAACTCCCCATTTTCAATTACAAGAGTTGTTTGAGATTCAGAACAGTAGTTTCCGTAAAGAATACTATGATCAACAAGGTATTTTGTTGTATGAACTCGTAAGCTATGGCATTGAGAAAAACGACTTGCATGGACCTCAGGAAAATAGGCACAAATTTTGAACCATAATAGCTAGAGAGCTCAGCTTTGCGTGGTTTTGTAGAGGGGTCTCCTGGCTATGCTTTGCATACTTTAGATATATATGTCTCCATGGAACTTTAAAAAAACCGCAATGGACTGTATTAGGGTCTGGATGGTTTACTCTACTTCTTTTTATTTTCTATATCTGAACAACTGAAAAATGTACGCACACACATATATTTATATATATTTTCACTATCCAGGGAAACATGTATATATGTATATAGTGGTGGACGACTAGATGAAAGAAAAGATATAGAGGTGAAATCAGTGCAAAAGAAAACGAAGAAGGTGAAAACGAAAGAATAGAAGAAAACAATAAAAAGAAAAGATGGTGGTATATGTGAAGGAAAAGCCCGTAACAGACTGTTTGAAAGGCTCGTGGTGGGCGAATACTGAAACAGCAAGGATTTCCAGTATGTCTTGATGAATATATAGAGTACTCATTTATCTACGCAATGGTGAAAATCGCAGCTCTCTAACTCTTTCTGTTCCTGAGTTATTGCAAAAATACCCACGGCCATTTAATTTTTGGAAAAAACTACATTCATTTCACTTAAACTATGCATTATCAGTTACTCGCTCCTCTGCATGCTACTAATTACATATAAAAGGGTTAAACAAAAGCTAGAATTGCTGAACAGGTACTCTGATGTACTCGGCTGCACATATAGTATAATTTCATATTTCCCCATGCTTCATTTGCTATGATTAGATTAGAATTTTCGTTATAGTTGTTCACCTCTGATTTAGTTGTATCAGAAAAATGTTTACTTCTGCATTCAAGTTTTTGCTGCATTACATTTTATTTTCGCCAGCTAGGTTCCTCTCTCAGAAGAGTTAAATAATTATGTGAATGACTTCGTGAAGATCAAGAGCACAGTCCAATTTATCGATAATCAAATAACATCCGAAAAGACCGAACAGATCCGCTGCAATATTAATTATAAAGGACTACGACTAGTTTCGTATCGTAACAGCTGATCTGAAAGGTAATCATAAAAGATATGGTCTAAGTTATAAGACTGGTAGGTTGTTCTTTGTCTTGAAACTCTTTTCGACCTTCACAAAACTATATCCAACCACTTATTTTTGCAAACTGTCGCGTGCTTGTTCTAAGTTGAAATTTTCGTTATAATTAATGATTCAATAAAGCAACTTGTGCTGTACATAAAAAGTACCTATTATCGTAGCTTTTCATGGCCTACACCGGAGCTTATCGACACGAAACTAAATAAGACAATTTTCTCCTGCAATGTTTAGTTCATTTTATTTTTCAATACATCATTAGTAAGAGCACTACAAACTGCATCAGATATTCTATGTGAATAGATATTTCATGTTGGAATATTGTTTCAGTGGTTTCGTATTTATATATCAATCATAGATAGACGTTTTTGTGCTACTTTATTCACTCACTGAAGAGCTTAAACGTTGTTTTTCATAGGGTGAATCTGTAGGAGATCTTTTATCCGCAGGAAACTGTTATTTTTGAAATAAAAATAAATTATATCACTTAAACTATATACTTTTGTTACGCTATGAACTACAGGAGTAAGAAGCTTACCATAGTCTTAGCAACATCCTAAGTGCAGATCTCAATAAATATGTGGCAAATTTTTATGTGTCATAAAATGTCCACTCTGTTGTTGTGACTGCAATAAGTTTTCTTTTTACTTCTGCTATTTATGGCGCAAACAAGGTAAAGAGTTTTAGAAATACAATTAATTTTAATTTCAAATAGACAAGTTTGACACAGAAGAAGGTTTTACACAAATTCACGCCGTTAAAACAACTTTAACCATTTTCAATACGTGAATGTGACAGGACAAGGTCATCTATCTGCGTATTTTCTGACAATTCGTTCTCGCGTTTATTCCAATAACAAATAATAAGTTTTAGTGCATATATCTCGTGGTAAGTGAAAAGAAAAAGAAAACCTGCTAAGGACTACATAAACCCAGTACGAACTCACCACTTTTAATTATCTCTGGTAAAAAATAGATGCCACATTGTCAAAATCGCTATTTTCCAGAAGTTACCAAAAGACGAACAAAAACTCATACTGAAATATCAACAAATTTTGTATTAAATCGAGACATTGATCTCTCTGAAAAAGTTCAAACGAGTTTCTAGTGACTCACCAGCCTCTACACCTTCGTAACACAGATTACAAAGTTTGTCGCAGCAAAAAACACGCGAAGTATCGAGACCAACTACAGAAATGCTGTGCTATGCATTGCATTAAAAAACATGATAACTCAGTAAAAAAAAATAGGAATGATGAATTCGTAAAATAAGCTTATCGACAGACATGAAAATTCTGCTCAGTTAATAATTCTTAATAAATGTATTGTTGCAAAAAAAAAACAGTCGTAAAGAACATAGGTGTTATTTAAAAAATATATAATCAATGTTCGCTATTGCCTGATCGATATAATAATCTTTGTTTGGCGCAAATCTTTTTCTTTTTGATTCTTGTCGATAATATCATTGTGAAAAAACAATGATTATGATGTTGATGAGAATGAGTATTAATAATGTATCACTGTTTGAATTCGATTAAAGGTTGTTTTAGACTATAATTAGATGTGCTTTACCACTTGCTATATGCCCACCCCTGAAGACATCTTCTTGTCTTTCTATAGCAAAGAACATGTTTTGTATGAAAATGCCAAAAAAGAATGGGATATATGTTATTCTAACAAGTCATAAATTGGATTAATATTGTTCACTAATGATGGAGAAAAAAAAGCCATGAATTTCTGTTATTTATATTGCTTTTTCATAAAACAAAACAAACTAGATTGAATACTTTTTATTTTCTTTTACACTCGATTTCAGACATGGTTTCGTTCATACAAGTAGTAGTAGTAGTGATAGGTATTTCATTTGTCGATGGAATAAATAATACTGCCTGTATACCGACCTTCAAACAAAAAAATACATCAACAATATTAACTAATCTTCGTCAAGAAATGCGGAATGTAAGTATTGGAATATATGTTGTTTTCTCTAATGACGAACATGGAAGTGAATATACACAACCGTATGATAAACGACGTGATTGGATTACAGGGTTTCGTGGTTCGTCAGGTATAGCAGTGATTTCATTACGAACCGCAGCTTTATGGACAGATAGTCGTTATTTTACACAAGCGGAAGAAGAATTGGATTGTGCTAATTGGCTTTTGATGAGAAATGGAAATGAAGATGTACCACATCTGATTAGTTGGTTAGTTACTGAAGCACAACAGACAGATTGGGTAAGATTTTCATAGTTGCGAGTAACAACTGCATGTTGTTCATAATGATGTTTTCTATCGAGTAGAAGAGTTTTCGATATCTTCATTCAATACATAAAATTGATAAAGCTTTTAATAAATATTAGATAATGTGTAATAAAATACATTCCTTCACTAGTCCTTTTAAGGTGTAGATATAGATAAAATAGAAATCTTGTACCCTCACTCACACCATATTAGTTTTATACTTCTTATTGTTAAAGTTGTAGAAAATGTGTAAATATAAAACCAAATAAATTTAATTTCTTATGAATCTATGCACTCCTCTTATGCAGTAATTATTTAACATCGATTTTATCCAAAGGGCTAAAAACGGATAGTTCATTCTATTGAAAACACGTTTCAGTTCATAGAATAACTTAAGATTCTTGATAACATTGTATCAATTTTTTTTTCTATTTATTATTTTCATTAGTCATTAGGTATTACAACTAAATTTATTTCTTCAGCATGGTGGTTAGCGGCAAATAACGCATTAAAAACAATAGGAAAACAACTTCAGCCTGTTAGTGATCTTGTTGAACGTATTTGGCCAAGTAATGAACGTCCAAAAGAATCACAAAAACCAATTTTTCAACATGATATTCAATATGCAGGTGAAAATGTTACTCAAAAATTAGATCGAACAACTACTGAACTTCAACGATTTGGGGCAACAGTAACTGTTATAAGTGCTCTCGATGAAATAGCATGGCAATTTAATTTACGTGGTGCTGATATTCCATATAATCCTTTTTTTAAATCATATGCTATCATTTACACTAACTATACTATTCGTCGACCGGAATTATTTGTTAATTTAAAACAAATCAATCGAAGGATATATCCTGTTGGTGTTAATGTATTTGATTATTCAAAATTTTGGTCACATTTACATGCAATAGTGAATGATCCAAGTATAGAAAAAATTTGGATTAGTGCTTATGTATCTCAAGCTATATTAAATTTAATACCTGATAATAAACTAATATTACCATTATTGAATTCACCCATACAACGTATAAAAGCACAAAAAAATGCTATAGAAAGAAAAGGTATGCGAGATTGTCAAATACGAGATGCTGTTGCTCGTATGAAACATATTGGATGGATTGAACAACAATTAAATAATGGAAAATCAATTAATGAAACAGAATCAGTTGATCGATTAATTTTTTATCAAAAACAACAAGATAAATTTCAATATCCAAGTTTTGATGCTATTTCAGCATCTGGTGATCGAGCAGCTGTTGTTCATTATTCTCCAGAACCACCAACAGCTCGACATATTACTAAAGATCAAGTGTATTTACTTGATGTAAATCTATATATATGATATGTAATATGATGATGTCATTTTTTTAAATTTTTTTTTCTAAGGCTGGTAGTCAATATCTAGATTGTACAACAGATATAACACGAACACATCATTTTGGTACTCCAAAAGATTTAGAAAAACGTGCTTATACACGTGTACTTCAAGGTGTACTTGCTATTGCCAATACGTTTTTTCCAGCAGGAACATATGGTCGATCCCTTGATCATCTCGGTCGAATGTATTTGTATAGAGATGGTATGACCTTTGGACATGGTGTAGGGTTCGTATAATTTTACTATATATGATAAAGAACTATTGTCATACAATTTATTTATAAGAATTTAATGAAAAGTAGTTTTCTTTTATAGTCATGGTATTGGTCATTTTTTAAGTGTGCACGAAGGTCCACAAAGTATTATATTGGAATACAATGAATATGAAGAAGCATTAGCTGAGGGAGTATTCATTTCGGATGAACCAGGGTTTTATAAACCAGGTGATTTCGGTATTCGTATAGAAAATGATGTTGAGGTTGTATTAGCAAAGAAGAGTCCATATGATAAAAGACCATTTTTACGTTTTAATACAATTACACTTGTACCGTATGAACGTTCATTGATTGATGTTACATTATTAACAAATACACAATTAAATGCTATCAATAAATATCATGCAAAAGTAGAGCGAATTTTAGAACCTTTACTGAAAGATGATCAAGCAGCGTTAAATGCATTGCGTTCACGTACGAAAAAACTAGATCTTCAACCAGTAACAACGATTTCAAAATTATCCAACAAAACATTTATTAGTATTAGTTCAACATTTCTAATAACCTTCGTTTTGATTATAATAATTTTATTTTAAAAGCATAAAGTATTTTATAATAACAAATAAATAGTTTTATTATGGATTAAAATTTAATTATTAGCTTTGCTATTAAAATACTTACCTTACTTCAAATTAGATTAAAGGAATTGGTTTCATTTTCTAACATTTCTTTTTTGTCTTAAATAATGAAGAGCGATAATGTACGTGTTGTTTATTATTTCGTATCCATATACGACATCTGTCAGTCAGAGAAAAGTAACTATCCACCAATCGTGTGTAGAATATATAAAAAATTTTTTGATCAGTCACATATATCTATCGATTTTGTTATATTAGTTTTTATTTATTTATTAGTCAAAGTATTCGATTTCTTTGCTATGCGCAATACTAGAACATGACAAAATTTTCGCATAGTTTATTCGTGTTACTTACTATTGTTTTGAATGGTTATCACATCATCGTATTGGGATAAATCATGAATTTTACTTTGATATCATACGTAATACGTGAAATTCTGGTTCTGTAGAATGAACTAACTTATCATGCACAACAAAGCTTTGTTGTCGCTATGATATCATTTATGATTGTGACATTATGATTATTAAACATTCCTATATAGAATAGATGCAGACTAGTAAGTGTGTTGCTGACGACTCTTGAATAATGTCGATATTTGAGAACTAATCAATGTTGTAGTAGAAAAATTCCTAACGATCTGAAATAGTTGATTTTGTTTTTAGACTTTTTGTAAATTGAAAATATTTGATTGTTAAATTAAAGTATTGCGAAAGATGAAATTTCAAAAACAAGAAAAACAATGAGTCAATTTTGTTTTTTTTTTATGATGAGAAATAAAGAGAAAAGGTTAACTCATAGTTACGGAAGAAAAAGAAGATAAGTTATTCGAAAGTCTATTTTAATTTATAATTATTACGTAAACGTTGTGATGTTATTTTTCCATTCTTTTTTGTTGATGATGATTTATTTTGTACTTTAGATTTATTTGGTCGACGTGTTGCATTATTACTAAGTTCTTTTTTCTTAATATGTAATGATGATTCTAACATTTGAATTGGTAATGTACGTTTTTTAATAGATTCTTTAACAATTATGGGTTTTTCTTTAATACAAGGTACATCACCTGCACCTGTATTTGTTATTATTGGTTGTTGAATTGTTGGTATTAATGCTGATTGTAGATGATGAATATTATTTGTGTCAATAAGTGTTGTTTGATGATTATTAGATATAAGTGATGTTTGTTGTTCGGGATTCATTAAACGTGTTGCTATTTGTTGATTATTTGAAATTGAAACAAGTTCATCAGCCATTCGTTTAACAGCTATTGAAACAAGTTGCCACATTTCTTTTGTTAAATGACGTTTAGCTAATTTTGTTTCATCATCAAGATTTTCTGTTGGATTTTGTTGAATCATTGATATAGTCGATGATGATATTGGTTGCATCATATCTGTATTACGACGTGAAATTTTTTTCATTGATATATTATTTTTTGGTTGTATATTATTTCGACGACGAACCATAGAAAAATTGAAATGAATATAACAAATGAAAAACAAATGTAAAAAGTGATTTTTGAAAACGCGCGAGATAATATATATTTGTTTTCTAGATCATAATACGTTCCCGCCATTTTCTATTTCGTTTGATCATATCAACAAATTCGTTCATATTATTTTGCAAGTATACTTGTATTAGCTGATGGTAGTAGTGACAATATAATATTAATGTCATTCTTTTTACTAACTTGAGAATATTTATGTGATGATAGACGAATCTTTTTCTTGTTTCATTGAATCAAGAATTCGTTGGTTTCGGAAAATAAATTTTTATTTTTCGTAAAAGATTGTTCATATTGTTGTCAAGTTGTTTCATCGTAGCCGTGTTGAACACATAATCTTTCTTTAATTCATCTATCATTAAATAGAAGTTGACATTGAAGATGTTAATAATTACATTAACTCAATAGTATTAGCACTTCAATTTAGATGAACGTAGAAGTAGAGAAGTTCAACACACATAGTCATATCCTATACAAAATGACACACCTGTGAGTTCTCTACGGCATTTTTTGACTAAATTGCATAAATTTTAAGTAAAGCACAATAAAGGACTTTTGAGCAATGTTCTCTTAGAAAATGCCGAAAAAACTACTTTTTTGGAAGTTTCTTAATATTGATATAGGTTCTGTCAAAAAGATCTCGTAAAGAGCTTGTAGACATTTCATTTTGCAGAGAATCAATTACTCTACTGTTTTGCGTAATCAAAATAAACTTTCTTTGAGGTTAGAAGATGTTCAGAGATCCTGGATTTTGAAAATACTGAAAATTTTATATCACTCAAATGCTTCTTAGCAACAACTATCGCTATTCAAGCTTCCTATTTGAATTCTTTATGGGAAGTACCATTACTAAAAAAAAAAAATCGAAATTAAATCTGTATAATCAATTTTTGAAGATATTGTATATTTCTATTAGTGCTACTTATTGATGAGGATGCCTCTCAGAATTTTTACATGTTGCAATTTTGTTCATCATATAACATATGACGCACCATGTTGTTGTTATGCAGGAGTAAAAATATTTGAACATTGTAATGATAGAACTTCGAGTTTGATGCAGAGTTCTAATAGTCGTGCATCAAAAAGAAAAGGAAATTTTCGATTACTCTATGACTGAGCTAATCTTTTTCTCGATCATGCAATTATCGAAGCATCATGAGCAGCTGTTGATGCTATTTCTGGTAAAAATGATTTACAAATAGAATAAACAGAAAAGATTGTTGTTATTTATGAAGATGATGACATATCAATATTTACTATAGCTAATTAAGAATTTATGGAAGATTTATTTAAAAACTTCATTGAACTGAAAGAAAAGAAAATATTTTTCTTTATTAGATAAATATATTTCTATTTTCTTTGATTACAAATTAATTATTTTAGATGGATATTGATTTGAATCCAATTGTAACTGTTGATTCATTATTGAAAACTTATCCATCATTAAAACGTATTCCTGATACAGATCGCGTAAGAAAATTTGTTTGATATTTAAACGAAAAAAAAATAATTCGTTTTATTATTTTTTACATTAGATTAAATGTAGTTGGACTCAACATGAAATGCCAACTCGTGTTGATGCTATTGAAAAATATGTTCTAGGAAAAAAATATCAACAATTATTAAAGAAAAATTTTGATTATGATTCTTTAGAAAAATATAAAGAATTTCTTGAACCAAGTACTAAAAAAAATCATGAGTATGATTTTAAAAAAAAAAAAAACATAAACTTAAAGTTTCTAAATCATTTCTTATAGAAAACAATTATTTTGCAAATTAACATGGCGTCATCTAAATAAAGAACCAGATCATATTATAAAACATATTGAAGGAAAAAAATTTAAGCGTGCTTATGCACAATGTAAGTTTAGATATTTATTTCTATTATGAATAAATATTTTATGAATAAAATTATTAGGGCAAGAATGTCAAAAGAATGGTACAGAATATGTTCCAGTAGGTCGAAGAAAAAAGAAACAAATATCAACTGAAGATGATGATAATGATCAATATGTTGATTTAAGTGATGATGAAATTCTTATAGACGATGATGATGATGATGATCTGTCTGATTTGTATCCTGGTATGTTTTAATAAATTTTTACAATTTATAAGTTAGATCATTTGATTTTTAGATTTTCGTCGTTTACGTACAAGCGATTTAAAATTACGAACAACTACTGAAGAAAATAATGATGATGATACAAGTGGAAAAAAAAGAAAAGCAGAAACATCAAAAGTAAATAATGAATAAAAGATTTTAAAAAAAAAAGACATTTTTTTCTTATTTGAAATTATAATTTAGATTAAAAAACCAAAAAAACTTGCAGCACCAAGTTCAAAACGTATGCGACCATCTGATGAGAAAACGGCCAATGGTGATGATTTAGTTAAACCAACAACAACAATGACTTTAACTATTTAAGTTTTTCTTTTTTGTTGGGTTTTTTAATAAACATAATACCATTGACAACATGTTCTCGGTTTAATTACATCGTTTACATTTTTCAGATAATCAGAATCATAAAACAAAATAAAAGATGACAGCACAAATACATGTAAATGATGAAGATATTGATGATCAATTATATAAGTTCGTTTATTTCCAAATTTAATCAAGATTTAAGTTTTTTTCTTCTAGTCGTCAACGTTATGTGTTAGGTGATGATGCCATGAAACGCCTAAGAAAACATCATGTATTAATAATTAACGCCGGTGGTTTAGGAATTGAAATAGCTAAAAATATTGTTCTTGCTGGTGTACAAGTAAATAAGTCTTAGATAATAAAAACAAAAGAATTTATCAAATTAATAAAATCTATATTTTAGAGTGTAACCTTACAAGATATCAACAATACAAGTATGTTAGATTTAGCTACACAATATTATTTATGTGAAAACGATATTGGAAAAAATCGGTATATGAATTGATTTTTTTAATTTATCTTTATAAATAATGATATAAAATTTTTATTTGTTTTTCATAGAGCAGAATCTAGTCTTGAAAAATTACGTGCCTTAAATGATTATGTTAAAGTACATGTTTCAAAAAAATCTCTTCCTGAAGATTTAGATGACTATTTAAAACAATTCACTGTAAATACTAAAATTTTAATAAAAATCAAGAATATTTTATTTTATTTTTATATTAGTGTGTCGTTTTAACTGAATGTAATCTTCATGAGATGAAAAAAATTAATGAATTCTGTCGAACAAATAATATTATTGTAAGAATTATAAAATAAGGTTTTTTTTGTCAAAAATTAATTTTTATTTATTAGTTTATTATGGCTGATGTTTATGGTGTTTTCTCTCGATGTTTTGTCGATTGTGGAAATAATCCATTTACAGTTTATGATAAAGATGGTGAACAATTAAAAGAAATATTTATTAGTCATATATCATCAGTACACATTGATATCTGTTTTTTTTTTGTGTGAAATAATTTTGATTTCATCTAGGAAGGAGTTGTTACTGCCGCAGGTGATGAACGACATCCATTTCAAGATGGCGATATTGTTTCATTTCGAGAACTAGTTGGATTAGAAAATTTGAATCAACAAGAACGAACAATTAAAGGTTAGAATATTATTTTTAATTGAAAAAAAACTTAATCATTTCAATCTTTTTTTAGATCTTAATATTCAGCAATTTTCAATTGGTGATATATCATCGCTTGGTGGAGAATATAAACAAGGTGGAATTGCACGTGAAGTTAAACAACAAATAAAATTAAATTTTGTAAGATTAAATAAATTTTTATAGTAAATTCTTATAGGAAAAATTTGTTTTTTTTTTACAGAACAGTTTAAATGAACAAATGCATAATCCAAAAATTTTAACTATTGATGGTTCAAATTATTGGACAAAGGATATCACTGGAGAAGTAAGATTATTAAAGTGTCAACAGTTTATTATTTGAGCAAAATTTTTTGTGTCATAATTAGATAGAGTACGTCGAGTTACCTATAAAAGAGTTGTTTTTGACATATACAAATAGTAATTCACAAAAGCCTATAAAAATTGAAACCATGTATCATGCCGAAAAAGTCGATGTTCTCAGTAATCAAACAAAATTTTTCAAACATCATTCATGATTTATTTTTCTAATTATATGTTGAGTAAAATTAAAAAAAACTTGAATATATACTCAGACTGCCCAGATTTGATACTCATGGCGCATTTGAATTTTTATAGACTTTTCTGATTTTTTTTTTAAACCCAATGTTCACTAAAGAAACGCCGTTCGAATATGTCAAAAACAGCAATTTTATAGTTAATTCAATGAGTTCTATCTAGCCAACGAACAAAAAAAATTTTACTCAAATTTCAAACTGTCGGCACTTTCAGTAAAACAAAAAGAAAAGAATTGTTACAAGATAATACAATTTATTTAGATACCGAATTTAGTTTATATACATGTTATTATGTTAGCTATTAGTGAATTTAAAGAAAAATATCAACGATTACCAGAACCACAGTAAAATTTATTCTTTTAGTGCACATTTAAAATAATTATCTTCGTTTGTTTTTTTTTTGTAGACAAATGAATCAAGAAAATGATGAAACACTTCTTTCAGAATTAGCTCAACAACATTTAAATGAATTAAAGTCAAAAGATGTATGTTCATTTTTATTTCAAATAAATTGTTCTATCATGTTCTGTTATATAGCATTCTATTAATGAAAATCACTTTGGTCATCTTCGGAAATGTCTTGTGTATTCAGCGAAAGGTTCATTTGCTCCATTATGTTCAGCTATGGGTGGTTTTGTTGGTCAACAAGTATTAACATCTATTACTGGTAAATTTACTCCAATTCAACAATGGGTAAAAAAAAATTTTTGTATTATTTCTTTATTATTTTTCTATTATATTAATTAGCTTTATCTTGATGCTTATGAATTAATAAAAGAAATTTCATTTGAAGATGAATATAACAAAATAAAGTCGTAAGAAAAATCTAATCATTAAATTTTTTCTACTACAAAAAAAACTTTTTTTTTTTTTTTTATAGAATAACACCAGATCGATATCAATCATTAAGATTATGTATTGGTGAAAATCTTGTTCAATGTCTTGCAGCACAAAATTTATTTATGGTAAATAATATCAGATTTATAAATTGAAAATAATATCTTGTTTATCTTTTAATAAATAAAGGTTGGTTGTGGTGCAATTGGATGTGAATTATTAAAATTATTCGCATTACTTGGTGTTGGACGAAAAGGAGAAGTATTGTTTATTAATAAAGAATTTCGTTTTTTCTTTCTTCAAGCAAAAATTAATATTGTTTTAGATTACAATAACAGATCATGATCATATTGAAAAATCCAATTTAAATCGACAATTTTTATTTCATAAACAACATCTTAATCAACCAAAATCAATGGTAGCTGCACAATCAGCTCTTGATATGAATAAGGAACTTAAGATTCAACCATATACATTAAAAGGTTTGAAAAATTTTTGATATTGTTTGTTTTTGCTTTAAAAAGTTTCTTTTTCGTTTCAAGTTGGTGTTGGATCAAATGACTTATGTTCTGATGCCTTTATATCTCGTCAAACAATTATTGTTAACGCACTTGATAACATCGAAGCAAGACGTTATATGGACTCGTATGTATTAAATAGATATGAGCAAAATGATCTCAATCCTGACGAGATCAAATTTTTGTTTTGATCAGGACTAGGACCAAAAATCATTGGTCCTATTTATCCCTAATATTAAATATTAATTAGTTTGAAAAATTCTTTCCTTTTTTTTATTCGTTTAAAATGTTTAGGCGTTGTGTTACCAATAAAAAACCGTTAATTGAATCTGGAACAATGGGTCCAAAAGGTCATACATTTGTTGTTGTACCTTATAAATCAGAATCTTATTCAAATCAAGTAAAAATGAAATATGTTTTTTTATTAGTTATGTTTTTTTTTAAAGAGTGATCCAATTGATAAAGATGTTCCATATTGTAATGTTAAGTCATTTCCAGCTAATATTGAACATTGTACAATATGGGCGAGAGAAAAAGTAAAGTGGAAAGAAGAATATTTAAAAAAAAAAAAATAAGAAATTTGTTTTAGTTTGAAAGTACTTTTTATATAAAACCATCATTATATAATAGTGTTATGTCACAGACAAATATTTGGAATCGTATTAATAATGGTGAAACTATTGATGATTTACCAAAAATTTATAAATTTATGAAAAGAAAATGCATAAATTGGAATGATTGTTTAAGTTTAGCAAGAGAAAAATTCGATAAATATTTTTCGCATAAAGTATTTCATACCTTTTTTTGAAGATGTTTTATGCCAGATTTTTATTTATTTAGGCACGAGATTTATTACATAAATTTCCTGCAGATATGATTGATGATAAAGGAAGTACGTAAATAAAAGACAAAAGAAATATATAATTTATGAATTATTTTCCTGTTATATATTAATATATTAGTTCCTTATTGGAAATTACCAAAGCGAGCACCAACTCCACTTGACTTCGATGTTAACAATAATCTGTAAGTTTTTTATGAATAATTAACAAATAATTTTATTACATGCTTTTTAGTCATTATGATTTTGTCATATCTTGTGCAAAACTTTTTTCCGTGATATATGATATTCCAGTAAATAAAAATTTCTTTTAATAAAAAAATCGATTTGAATCATTTATCTTCATTTATTCAGGTAAATAGGGAAGAAATAAATAATGTTGAAACAAATAAAGATACAATTTCACAAACGAAAATTGAACCATGGCAACCAAGAAATAAGGTAAAGTTTTTTTTTGTAAATGTGTCCAGTACCAAAATGGTGATGTGAACAACGATATGAATCTAATATCTTTGCCACTGTGTGCGTTTATAGAATAGAGATGACATCTATATCAAAACGATCTGTAGTATTATGACAAACTATCTCATTGACTATAAATCCGAGCCCATCAAGTCTAGGTCTGAATTTTTTCTGTTAATTGAATCCGGATCGAAAAATTTCCGACTCAACGGGCTCTTCTATAAATAAACATTGTTTAAATGAATATAAAGCTTGAATTCTATTTGCAGATGTTAATTAGATCATCATAATAAAGAAAAGCAGATATTAATATACAGTAGACACTACTTTTGAACTTTGATAGAGTTTGCATCAGAATGACATTTGAAAAAGATGTGAGCGATGAATTGTGCAATTAGAGTTCGAATATAAATGAAGATATAAGTTACTGAGTATAACTTCAAAAATGAACGAGATTTTTATTCAATCAAAACATAAAATAAAACTTACCTCGATTATAATCATAATTTAAGGAATGATTTTAATGTAAGTTAAGCGCAAAAGACAACACATAATTCATATCACAATTATAATAATATTCCAAATATAGGCTTTTCTGAAACTTAGTCAAAAAATAAAGTTTAGTTGGGTTATTAATAAATACATGTTAAAGCTCGAGTATTTGTCCTGTCAAAGTAGATTCTCACCGCGAAGCTAGTCTTTTATTTCAGTGTCATGGTGTAGGAAAGCATGACGCTTCTGAAAATGTGTGACTAATGATCATCTCTATGTATACATTTAAGGTTAATATTCAAAAATAAGTGAGCGTATGGTTAGCTGTCTATCGCTAAATTACGCTCACAATTTACTCGGTGTAATCCAATTTCACATCTTTCACTAGTCCATTGAATAAAACCGAGATTCCATATCACATACAAGAAAGTAAACAATGTTACACATTTCACATCTTCTACATACTATAGACTCTTTTGCATTCAATATTTACAACAGTCATAAATAATTATTGATTATTATTATAAAATTTTGTCCCCATACTCTTAGTTAAAACTTAAAATATTTTTGTCTTCGACTTTGAATCAAGAATCAATTAGAGAGATTCATATTAAAATTCATTATTGCTGAACCTTTTTCAAATAATGTGTTATTTGAACTTTTTCTTGTTTGAAGATAATTATAACTGACCCAACTGTTGCAAAACCAACATCAACTAAACATGAAGGTGATATTGGTACAGATGAATGGAAATTTGCACAAGAACGAACTAAAGATTTGAGTATGCCATAGATATTTTTGTATTTTTTTGATAAAGAAAAAAAAACTAACTTATTTATTTTATAGAAGCTGCACCAATTCCATTTGAAAAAGATGATGATTCTCAAATAGATTTTATTACAACTGCAACAGTATGTTTTGATAAATTGGTTTATATGTATATTAAATATTATTAATTCATTTAATAGAATTTACGAGCACAGATGTATGGTCTTGAGTCTAGTGATCGTTATGAAATAAAACGAATAGCAGGTACTATTGAATTTAAACATTCTTGTAAACTTAGCTGATTATTTTTTCATCGTTCAGGTCGTATTGTACCAGCTATTGGAACGACAACTGCAACTGTATCTGGTCTTGTAAGTTTCTTTCCTTTGATATTTTTTCTAATGCTAATATTCATATTTATTTATAGATTATAATTGAACTTGTTAAACTATGTCTTAGTCAAAAAAAGGACCTTCCCTTAAGTGTTTATAGAAATTTTTACATTAATATTGCATTACCATTTTTAATCGCTAGCGAACCATTAGCATGTACAACACAAAAAATTGGGTACGATTTCATTGGATGTCTTTTTTTATATTTATTATTGTTATATTAAAAGAATAAGATCCTTCGTGCCTTTTCGAATAACTCTGCAAGGCAAAAAGATATTGAAAAACGTTTTGTTTTGTTCGTTTGTAGTTAAGTCTGAGACACGTCGAACAGTAATAGAAAATTCGATAGAGAAAGTCGTTATCTCTTTATCTGCACAAATCTGACATTTCTAACATGTACCATTCAACAGCTATAAGGATGTTTTGGAGGTTCCTGATTTTGGCTAGTTGACCCTAGATTACTCGAAAATAGACCCACAGAGGAGTGATTGATTACACAATGTCCAGTAATAATGTTGGTTTTCACGATTCAGAAAAACCTAGCACTCTGATATCCAAGTTGTCGAAATTTCTAATTGTCCTTCTCTACAACGTCAATAGTCAATATTCCAAAAAAAAAACAGATATCATGGTTCAAGATTTTTCTGCAATTGTAAATGAACATCATTACTCAACTCAGCATGGTCAACCATTCTTCTCTAAACATACTTTTAGAGGAGTCGAGATCAACACTAGCGAAAAAGCTTCGAGAAAACCATTGTAACTGTTGAACAGTACGAGTTCGAAATGTCGGATTTACGAATATCAAAAGAGAACAAGTTTCTCATCGGATACACGTTTCAAAAAATGAAAATACAATTTACAGAGACTCGACTACAGGTGGACGAAAAAACATTCCTTAGAGATATCTCTTCATCTTGCAGATTTATTTGAAAAGATGTAGGGTACTCTCTTTATTGAATCGTATATTCATTTTCGTATATGATTTTTAGAAAATTTGATGTTAATATTTGGACAAGCTTTGAAATTAAAGGAAATCCTGATATGACTCTGGAAGCATTTATTAACGAAGTAGAAGTAAGTTTATGATTTATATTTTAAATAATTCATTTTTTTTGATTTTCATTTTTAGAAAAAATATGATATTAAACCAGCATTAATTTCTGAAGGAGTTAAGTCTGTTTATGCACCATGGATGCCGAAAGCTTCATCACAATTAAAACGAAAGTAAACATCAAAAAAGACAAAAAAAAATTATTTTTTTGTTTTCAAAATAAATTTGATTTATTCTACTTTAGAATGGATGAATTACTTCCACATAAACCTAATATAACTTATTCTGATCTAGTAGTTTTACCGGATGATAGTGATATGGATGTTCAAATGGACAGTAACGTCGATGCTACACCACCACCAATTCGTTATTATTTTAATAGTTAAATGCTTTATTCTCTGTTCTTCACTTTATTTTAATAAACATTTTTCTTTTTCTTTCGAATAAATCAATCTATAGAAAAAAAAAACAAAAACAAAATGATCGATGTTCTTATTTCAGCTACTTGATAGTCTCATCAGATAAATACAAAAATACACCGGATGCGAATATCATACATTATTCATTATGGAAAGCTTTTTACTTGATAAACGATGAGATTTAATTACATTTGGCTTAACTTAAGGCTTTGTTGTATATGCCAAAAAAAAAACTCAATTTTGTACTCTTGTGCTATTATTTTAATTTCATTGATTTGCAAATTCCGTCTATTTGTCTATGTCTTATATTTCTGCTTCTAGGCATATTAACATATAAATAGTAGACAATCATAGATTGGTAAGCCAGAGCAATAAAAATTGAATTGACAATAATAATGAACGGAATATGGATTTTATCAGTTGTCTTAATCATAGTTGCCTTTAATACAGGTTTGCTATATTATCATACAATTATTATATAGATTAAATATTTTATCTATGTAGTAACTGGCTGTAAACACACACATTCTGCAGCTCTCTCTCAAATTAAATCTGTTGGCATTGGAATTTCATCATCAGGTGGTTGTAGTAATCGTAATAATCCAAAATGTACATCACTTGAACAAGTACGATGCAATGCTATTCGTTGTTTGAAAACATTGAAAACATCTTCAGGATGTGGTATTACAGTTACTGGAGGCACAGTAAGATATATCAATAAATATCTTCTATTATTCGTATTTTTTTTGTTCTTGAATGCATAGGAAACTGGTCATGCTGGTGGAACATATTCACATTGGAATGGATACAAAATTGATATTTCATTAAATTCATGTATCAATTCATACATTACAAAACAATTCGCTTACATAGGTAAACGAGGTGATGGTGCTGCTCAATACAAAGCCTCAAGTGGCAATGTTTATGCTAAAGAAGGCAATCATTGGGATATTACATTCACTGCTTCATGTTAAATGATATTCTCAATAATTATCTACCTTATAATCTATATTCTTTGTTTTTTTCCTATTTCTTATCAATAAAAATAATTGTTGTTAATAACGAGGATCGAAATCAATTTAATTTATCGTCTGTATTTAATAACTTGTATTGACTATGAAAATGTTTTTAGACATCAAATACAGAATCAGTGTGGTTCCAAAAAAAGGGTGGCAATAATTTCGATAATTCAAAGAAGATACTTTTGATCATCAACTAATTCAGATAGCTTCGATTACCAAAAGAAAAAAGACACGTTGATCACCAAAATTTCTCCAGCACTTTGAATTTTCTTTTCGAATAAAGAATATGGATGCACTATCTTCTTTGCATCGACACATAGCTTCATACTCACACGTACCCGCTTCTACACCCCCATCCACACACCTTCTTCCACACCTCTTCGATGCTACATCATCACTAAGTCATTATTATCTTCATAGTTAAATGTTTTATTCTCTGTTCTTCATTTTATTTTAATAGACATTTTCCTTTTTCTTTCGAATAAATCGATCTATAGAAAAAAAACAAAAACAAAACGATTGATCTTCTTATGTCAGTTACTTGATAGTCTCATCAGATAAATACAAAAATACACCGGATGCGAATATCACACACTATGCATTATGAAAGAATTTGTATTTGATAAACTATTAGATTTAATTGCATTTGACTTAACTTAAAGTTTTGTTTTATATGGAAAAAAAAACTAAATTTTGTAGTCTTACATTGTTATTTTAATTTCATTGATTTGAAAATTTCGTGTATTTTTCTCTGTTTTATCTTTCTATTCTGTTCTCCTAAATAATATCAAAAATAAATGTCAAAAATAATAATATTGTAAGTTAACATGTCGAAATGTGAAAATGTCGAAAATGGATATGAATGTGGGTGAAGAAAATTCACTCATAACCAATCGCAATCGTGCCTGTACTCATGTCTACATCCAAAGTCATATTCTCAGTGTTTTATTGTTTAACATTAACATCATTCGACATTTTTTCTTCTTGTTTTCGACATTTTCGTTTTCAACATTTTTTACTTTCAACCGAATTCAGGTTTACTTCCTTCTTCTAGGTATATTAATATATAAAAAGTAGACAATCATAGATTGGTAAGTCAGAGCAATAAAAAGTGAATCGACAATAACAATGAACGGAATGTGGATTTTATCTGCTGTCTTAATCATAGTTGTCTTTAATACAGGTTTGTTATATTATCATACAATTATTATATATATTGAATATTTGATCTATTTAGCAACCGGCTGTAAACACACACATTCTGCAGCTCTCTCTGAAATTAGATCTGTTGGTATTGGAATTTCATCATCAGGTGGTTGTAGTAATCGTAATAATCGAAGATGTACATCACTTGAACAAGTACGATGCAATGCTATTCGTTGTTTGAAAACATTGAAAACATCTTCAGGATGTGGTATTATAGTTACTGGAGGCACAGTAAGATACATCAATAAATATTTTCTATTATTCATTTTTTTTTTCTTTTTTGAATACTTAGGAAATTGGTCATGCTGGTGGAACATATTCACATTGGAATGGATACAAAATTGATATTTCATTAAATTCATGTATTAATTCATACATTACAAAACAATTCGCTTACATAGGTAAACGAAGTGATGGTGCTGCTCAATACAAAGCATCAAGTGGCAATGTTTATGCTAAAGAAGGCAATCATTGGGATATTACATTCACTGCGAACTGTTAATCGTTTGATTCTCAAATGATTTCAGACAGATTGAAACGAAGCTAACTGTTAGATTAGAGTATGTCTATAGATGGTTTGAGTACGAGTGTAAGTGAGTTTGGTGCGAATATTGTCTAACAGCACATTTTCAACTATACCCATAACTCTACCTTTTTTTACCACGCCTACACTTGTATCCTCACTTCAGCCTCCACACTCATAGCCACAGCCATACCTCACACTTATTTCGGTGAATTATATATATATTGTTTTTATAGATTATGTTGTGAAAAATAGTCATAAGGCATCTGTAGCTTTATTGCTACTATGGAACTCAAAGAGTTACATAATATTTTCAATAATTATTTATCTCATATTCTGTATGCTTTGTTTTTTTCGCATTTCCTATTAATAAAAACAGCTGTTGTCAATAAGGAAAATAGAAATTAATTTAATTTGTCAACTGTATATAATAAATTGTATTGACTATGAAAATGTTATAGACATCAAAAACGGAATCAGTTCAGCTCCAGAGAAAAACGAACCAATCCAATATCTATTACACATAACAATACATGAAAGTCTATATTGTTCAGAAAAATACATTATTCACAAAATTTTGATTGTCTACAAAATTAAATGTATATAGTTATGTTTTAATATGGTGTTGAGAGTTCTTCAGGTAGACGACGAAACTCAGAAGTCTTTTATCTTGAATTTTTAAATAACAATACGGTTTTCATAAATTGATACAAATTATAAATTGCGTTTAGAAGTAAACATTATCAATAATTTTTTATTTTATAGAATAATTTTTCAGCTCAGTGGAATTTTTCGTTTAAAATAACTTAAGGTCAACGATTCGCATATCGTGTTTTTTTATTCTTTCATTTCTCTTTGTTTTGGTAGTATGCAAATTCCGAAATATCATCAGGCTAGTTTTTGAATTGATTGATTTTCGTTCTTTTATTAAAAAAGATTAGAGAAATGAGTGTTGTGTATCTCATAGGGTTTTTTTGGTAAGAGATTTTGAAAATTTGAAACCTTATATTTCAATAGCACGCATATATTCATTTAATCTTATTTTTTTCAATTAAAAAATAAAGTAACATTAATCTTTTATTTTGGTTATTACTTAGGACGAAAATATAGAAAATGATCCTATATTTGTGACTTAATATTTATTTACTCTCTTCATAGCAATAAATATAAAAGGCTGGAGTTAACAGTATAAGCACATTGCATCAGAAACTCGATTGACGAAAAAAAACAATACAATGAACGGTATGTGGCTGTTATCTGTTGTCTTATTCGTAGCTGCGTTCAATGCAGGTTTGTTCTTTGTAACTAATATTTCAATGTTAATATAGCATTCAATTTATATAGTAATTGGTTGTAAACATGCGCATTCTGCAGCTCTTTCTCAAATTCAATCCGTTGGCATTGGAATTTCATCATCAGGTGGTTGTAGTAATCGTAATAATCCAAAATGTACATCACTCGAACAAGTGAATTGTAATGCTATTCGTTGTTTGAAAACATTGAAAACATCTTCAGGATGTGGTATTACAGTTACTGGAGGCACAGTAAGATATATCAATAAATATTTTCTATTATTTATTTATTTTCCTTTTTGAATACTTAGGAAACTGGTCATGCTGGTGGAACACATTCACATTGGAATGGATATAAAATTGATATTTCACTCAATTCATGTATAAACTCATATATTACAAACCAATTTGCTTATATTGGTCAACGAGGTGATGGTGCTGCTCAGTACAGAGCATCAAGTGGCAATGTTTATGCTAAAGAAGGCAATCATTGGGATATTACATTCACTGCTCAATGTTAAAAATTTTCTTTTTTTTGCTAACTAAAATGAAGTGTATTGTATTGAAGTTGTCCTCCTTATAATACATTCAATATAAATATCAAAAGAGATAATCGACAATAATAATTGCTAAAGAAGTCAATACAAAAAATTGATATTAAAATATTAAATATGAAATATTAGTCTTTTGAGGAGAAGAAATACTTCATGTTTATGTTAGTTGTATTTTTTTACAAATATCCTAGAACGACTATCTTTGCAAGTACATTTCTTACTTATGACCTAACAAAGAGGACTCAGTTCGCTTTAGAAATATTTGAGCCCTCCTAGAAAATTTGAAAGTGCTACGAGCGCTGATGTGAATCCCTTAGCACGTGTTTAGTAACCTTACGAGTTTTTTCTGGTTACATGGTCTGCGCATGGGCTACAAAATCTTATAGATGAAACCATGTAACAAAAATATCGGACAAATATAGATGGCTTGTCAGCGCTTGCAATAAAAAAAATAGGAGATGCAAATTATTTGCATGGTTGGGGTTTCAGATGAAGAAATGAAACTAATTCAATTTTTTTTCATTATTTCTATTGATTAATTTTCCAATTCATTTCAAACGAAACACATCAGAATCAGAGAAGAAAAAACTTTTTTGTTTATTACAACTGGAAAATATAGCCAATAGATTACAATGAACAACCAATTGATGTTCACGACCATTGGGTTCTTCTTAGTTATAGCTGCTGTTAATAGTTCTCACTTTTTGGGTGGTACGATCAGTTGGCGTGTACAGAATTCGGCGACTTCTAGTACATGGGTAGCTATACTCATTACTCAAACATATTCTTGGACATATACTACTGGAAAATGTGAAAATGGTGCGATTGCTGCAAATCAACCAGTTCCTGGTTCAGGAGGAACACTAACTTGTTCACCTAGTTGCCCAGCTGGCTTTGGAAGTGTATCTGCTACACCTCATTGTACTGACGTTTCTCCGCTCAATGGAATCGTAGTTGGACAACGTTCAGACATAGTTTTAATACCAGAAGGTAGTGATTTTTCAGTGATTTATGCGAGTGGTGCATGGGGTAGTCTTACGTTAGGCGGATCTGGTTGGTCTATTTTATCCCATATTAACCTAGTAAAAAGATCTGATAATGGCATGTTCAATCATGCTCCAGTAGCCACTATCATGTCTCCAATCATTATTCCACAGAATAAAAAGACACTGATGACTATCTCGGTCAGCGATGCTGATGGAGATACCGTTCGATGCCGTTGATCTACTAATTTGAATGGTGTTGATGAATGTGGTTCCATATGTCCACCAAGTTCATTACCAGCAAATACAGTGATATATCCGAACTGTACTATTGAAATTACTGGTACCACTGCTGGTACTCGATATGCTTTAGCAATTATGGTCAGTTGTGTTTTAGTTTGAAAAAAAAAGCTTAATATTTTATTTTTCTCTTCTCTAGGCAGAAGATTTCATCACTTCAGCTAGTACAACACCCCTAAGTACAGTACCTGTTCAATTTCTTGTTGAAATTATGACTCCACCATCATGTTCTATTCTACCTGAAATATTACATACTGGAAAATCATGTACACCAATTAAAATGAATGAAACATTCATATCCCAAGTACTTGCTGTGAATCATTGTGGAGAAAATGTTATTATTATAGATATTGCTACATTATCTTTTTCTGGAATGACTCAAGGATCTCTTGTCAAATTAAGTTCTCTCATTTATTATAAAACTATAACTTGGACACCAACTATTGATCAACTTGGCTATCAAGTAATGTGTGCAATGGCTTTGAACAAGTTTGTAGAATAGATTGTGTCATATTTTTTAAGTTAAATCATCTTCTTTTCATATAGTCAATATGCACAATCATCACAATATTGTTTCACGTTTTTTGTCACAGAAAATGGTATGGATACATGTCCTGGAGTTATAGACAATACTATAACGACAATTCCATCAACAACAATATTGATGGCAACAACAGAAACATCAACATCAACATCAACAACAGAAACATCAACATCAACATCAACAACATCGACGGCAATCCAAATAGTAACATGTTTGTAAACAATGTTCGTTTTGATTCTAAATAAAATATATTGTTCTTATATTTTTAGCTGACTGTATCAATTGGCCATTAATTGCAAGTCTTGGTGCTTTAGCTCTTCTCGCTACGGCCTGTAACTGCTGTTTTCTTTGCCATTGTTATACGTTTGTTAAGACCAATGACAAAGTTTACTAATCTCTTAATTTGTTTTTTAGAAGCTATAAAAATAAACGAAAAAGCAACTCTGATAAATATGATTCATCGAAAACATCTACGCTAAAGACTAGTTCTACTGTGGTACCGATTATTCCTATCTACTCTGTTGTGAAAGAAAATATCTATAAATCGAATATTTATGAAACATGTTTGAATGATACAAAAGGTAAAGAGTTGAGTTTTAGTATGTTTTATCCAATCCATTTTTCATTCAAAGTTGATAATCGTACACCACAAAAGTTTATATCCAAATTTCATTATCCAAACAGAAATCTATTTATAACGTCATCCAATCAATTAAGCACATCGGTCGAACCATTAAATATTGATCAAAATCTAGGAACGGTAAGTTCAAATAGTATTCTGCCAGAATATATATCAGTAAAGTATACGTAAACATTATATCACGACTTGTTTAACGAATACTAAATCAAGCTTATTTATTCTAGTATGAAAACATAAATTCATCACCATTATTGAATCAAGTTAATACTGATGCTAATATTATCATACGATCATATGATGGTGTTCGTATCGGACGCATACGCAAAATAAACAGTAAAGTGACAAAAACTAATATTTTTAATCATTTAAAATCATGAACAGAAGAATTTTAAAAATCAGAGTTTATTTATGAAGACTTGTTTGCAACAAATGTGCTTATTGGATGTGTACTGAGATCATCATAATGAACTTATATAAATATTTCAAAAACTATGATGAAATCTTTTCTTTTTCGATATATTTTCGTATTCTTTCATATATATATATTGTTTAAATAAAAAGCTGATCAACTAGTTAAATATTCATCGTATTAAACAAGGATTTTCTTTATCAATTCAATATGAAATACCTTCGCTTCATCACAATCTATATATTTATAATATACAAACTAGTTGGGATTGAATTCTAGTTGTTTTTTCGATCCAATAAATTATTATTAGTTGTAGACTGATTATTAAAGAAACTCAAGTATTAGCATTAATTCACCATGAATTGCTCTTGAATAGATTCGTAGACATGTATAATTATGTAAATTTCTTTCAGCGAATATTTCTCCGTCGTTTTTTATAGGATTTCACTTTCTGATCAGTGTGACCAAACTTGCAATATATTTAAAAAACAATGCAAACTGTTCGATGCATTAGATTGATGTCATTCAGTTTCTCTGAATCAAAGGTTGAACTGTTCGGTTGATTAGAACGTCTGATTTTATATCCGTTTTGTTACATCATTTAAAAAAAGGAAAAAAATTATTTTTATACTATACGTAACATGACATATCGAAACCAACTCATCTTGTTTGATTCTTTCATTGATAATAATATCGATTACTAATCAATGAGATTTTCTCAAAGAATAAAATATTTTCATCATATTGAATAGTATAAATATGATTTCATCAACTTACTTAGTTTCATCACTCTGTACTTATATAATTAAATAGTGAACAAAAAAAGTAAATACAGTCATACGAAATAAGATATTGAAACAGAAAACAAACAGTGTTATGATGCATCACAACCTATCAATCGACATATAAACCTAGGTCACCTCAGAATATTAGTACTAGTCATTTCTACTGTTATATTACCATCTGTACCATAACATGAATTTCAATTAACAGAAACAATTATTTTTTCTGTTTGTTTATTTATTTAATATTCAATAAATATGATGTGAATAATTACTCTCATAAACACTACAATAATAAGCAAAATGATATCAACCAGATGTCATTTATATATTAGTCCAAAGAACATATTGTTTTTGTATACATTCAATAAATAATTGATAAAAAAATTATCATAA